CAATAGCAATTGAGTATCACCATGTGAATGCCAGTCACTGGCTTGTCGAGTTGGAACAAGGTGCACCACTTTAAATATACTCCAATACTGAACTTCCGTGGCCCTCTCAATGCTCCTTATCTCAGTCTTAAATCACAACCTCCTATTTTAAAATTATGTCCCCTGGTTTCTGACTCCACGATAAGGGAAATCACCCTACCTGCATTTATCCTTTCTGTCCTTTTAAGTATTTTGTAAGTTTCAATGACATCCTCTCATTCCTCAAAACCCTAAAGCATAGAGGTCCAGTTTGCCCAATTCTTCTGCACTGAACAGTCTCACCAACAGTGGGGACAAAACTGGTGATGCTTCATTGCAATAAAATACTTCCTGAGATAAGGAGACCAAAACTGTACACATCACTCCAGATGCGATCTACACAATCGAAACAAGACTTGATCACTTCCGTACTGAGATCCTCTTGTGATAAAGACTAACATTAGCTTTTCTAATAAATTGCTCCAGCTGCATGTTGCCCTTCAGTAATTTATTGACATGGACTCCCAGGTCCCACTAAACATTTACACTTTCTCACCTCTCACCATCCCCAGTTGTCCTTCCAAAGATGTGGGTGAGCTGCCTTCTTGAAATGGTGGAGCCCACGTGTTGTAGATAGACACACAATGCTGTCGGGGTAAGATATCCAAGATTTTTAACTTAGTGTCACTAAAGGAACAGCAATATAACTCTAAGTCAGGATTGAGAGTGGCTCGGAGAGAAACTTTCAGGTGGTGTGTTCCCAATTATCTGCTGCCCTTATCTTCCTGGAGGGTAGTGGTCATGGGTTTAGAAAGTGGGGTTGAAGAAATGGTACAGACTGGTGTTAGTGAGTGTCTGTGGTGGAGGGAGTGAATATTTGTGGATGTGCTGTCCATCAAGCAAGCTGCTTTGTCCTGGATGGCATCAAACTTCTTGAGCATTGTTAAAACTTCACAGTGGGGAGCATTCCATTGCACTCCCGATGGTGCTTCACAGATAGCAGACAGGTTTCGGAGAGTTAGATGGTGAGTTACTCACTGCAGGATTCCTAGCCTCTGACCTGCTCTTGTGGCCACTGTATTTATACAGCTAGTCCCATTCAGTTTTTGGTCAATGGTAATCACCAGGATGTTGATAGTGGGAGATTCAGTGATGGGAATATTGTTGAAGTCAAAGCACAATCTTTGGATTCTCTCTTGTTGGACATGGTCATTGTCTTGCACTTGTGCAGTATGAATATTACTTGCCATTTTTCAGCACAAGCCTGGGTATTGTCTAGGTCTTGCTGCATTTGGACATGGACTATTTCAGTATCTGAGTTGTCAGTGCTGAACATTGTTTGTTAATGATTGCACATTCCCATTTCTTATAGGAGTGAACACCATTGATAAAGCAGCTGAAAGTGGTTAGGCCTAGGTCAATACCTTGAGGAACAAGGACTCTTGTAGTGTAGTGGAAGTGTCCCTACCTCTGAGCCAAGAGACCTGGGTTCAAATCCTACCTGCTCCAGGTGTGCTTGTGTGAGAGAGAAAGACAGAGATATCCCTGAATGGGTCAATTAGAAAATATCCATAAGGTGGACCTTGTGGTGTAGTGGTAGTGCCCTTACCTCTGGACCAAGGGACCATGTTCAAATCCTACCTGCTCCAGGGCTGTTTGACAGTGACTCTTAAACAGGTTGATGAGGAAAAATTTTTAAAAATGTAGACCCATGATGCAGAGGGGTGTGGGTAGATTTAGGATCCGCTCCTAGGCTTGGCCAGGCTAGCTATAAACAGGTCCAGGCAATGGCCTGTGGAGGATGTCCTATCTGTCGACTGCCTGTCACTCTTCTGTGAATACGTTTGTGCCTGGCTGTTCTTGGAGGAGAAGCATGCACTGTCCATCAATGGTCTTGATGCCTTTAGAAAGAGGCAGAAAATTGCAGGGAACATAGCACTTTATTCACCGCTCCAACTCCATTTTGATTTAGCCCCATTCCACTCTCCCTATTACCCCACACCAAACCCCTTCATTTTTGATGTTTCGCAGCATGCATAATGGGCTTTGCACATAAACTTCTAATTGGGTGCATAGGTGATTACTAGTGGTGGTTAATAGTTGGAAACTAAAAAAATGTCACCGTGATTTGGTGATGGGAAAGTTGTTGAGGTGTGTGGTAACACTACTGGATATTAATACAAAGGGCAGCCCCATGATAGGCTCTTGTGACACAGTGGTAGTGTCCCTACCTTTGAGCCAGGAGGCCCAGGTTCAGGTTCAGGTTCCAGCTGCTCCAGAGGTTAGAAAACATTTAAGACAAACAGAATGTCAAAAGTCATAAGGCAGACCCATCCCTTCCACTCCATTTTTATTTAGCCCCTTCCCGCTCTCACTACCTCTCCCCCATCAGTGATAGTTTGTAAAACCCAGAAAGGGATTTGCGTTTAGTTAATTGGAAACATTGAAAGATACAAAAGCTTAAACACACATACCAACAGATTTAAGAACAGCTTCTTCCCTCCTGTTATTAGACTTCTGAATGGACCTCTCAAATTTCAAATCTAATGTTGATCTTGCTTTTTGTGCACCTTCTTTGCAGCTGTAACATTGAACAGAGCGAGGAATGCAATCACCCTCTGGTCTTTGTATGTTATGATCTGCCTGTACTCCACACAAAACAAAACTTTTCACTGTATCTAGGTAAATATGACAATAATAAATCAAATCAAATATGGGCAATTTACTGGTGCTGGTTAATAAGATAAAACAATGTACTCCAGGTGCGAACTGTTCAGCTGTGCGTGCTAACACTTCTGGATATTAAATAAAAGCAGACCCAAACAGGGCGATTAAGGATTTAGCAAGGACTGCAGATGCTGGAAGTCAGAATCGATAAAATGTGGAGCTGGAGGGTTACAGCAGGTCAGACAGCATCTGAGGAGCAGGAAAGTTGACATTTTGGGTCAGCACCCTTCATCAGGACTGGGGAGGGGGAAGGAGCTCAGAAATAAATGGATAGGGTGGGGCGGGCCTGGGGGAAGGCAGGTGGGATGGTGATAGGTGAATACAGGTAGGGGTTGTAGAGATTGGTCAATGGGAAGGGTGGGAAGGATAGGTGAGAAGGGAGATGCACAGGTTGTGTCAGGTCAAGGAGGCCTGGGGGGGGGAGGGGGAGGGGGGGGGGGAGATGAGAGGAGGCTGGGGGTGGGGAGATTTTGAAGCTGGCAAACTCTACGTTGAGGCCATTGGGCTGTAAGCTCCCGTGGCGGAAAATAAGGTGTTGTTCCTCCAGTTCATGTGTTCTGCAAGTGTGGAGCTGAGGATCTGTAGGGAGAACCATTTCTGGAGGAACAACACCTTACATTCCACCTCGGGAGCCTACAGCCCAATGGCCTCAACTTAAGAGTTCACCAGCTTCAAATCTGCCCACAACTCCGGCCTCATCCCATGTCCAGCCCTCCCTCTCAACCCGGCCTCCTTGACCTGAAACAACCCGTCCATCTCCCTTCTCACCTATCCGGACCACCCTTCCCATTGACCAAACACTACAAGCTCCCTACCCGCACTCACCTATCACCATCCCACCTACCTTCCCCCGGCCCCAACCCTCCATTTATTTCTAAGTTCCCTTCCCCTTCCCCAGTCCCGATGAAGGGTCCCGACCCAAAATGTTGACTGTCTTGCTCCTTGGATGTTGTCTGACCTGCTGTAACCCTCCAGCTCCACATTTTATTGGCAAAAACAGGGCGATGGTGGATATCCAGCTCGTGGCCGATACCATCCATTGCCTGAAAACAACACTGCTCGGACCTGACACTGTGATAGGAAGCTCAGGCGTGCGGCGGCATCCTATCTGCACATACTCCTGCTCGGATGGAATTCCACATTGGGTCCAGGGCCCTGAACCTCCCTCAGGAAGCCGCGGCCCACGGGTCTGCCCTCCACGTCCTTCCGCCTTGCGGTGAGTGTTTGTACAGGCTGTTGCTGCTGCACACCATCCACCTCAACTCTTAACGTCCGCTGTCTGGACACACCTTGGTGTGTTTATTTACCGCTGGGGATCCCAAGTGAAGGGCTCTCTATGTGAGAGTCTTCCCACTTTCCCTCGAAGACTTGGGGTGGAGAGTGGTGCATTCAGCTGTCCCCTGTAACTGCAGACTGTGGTGGTTCATGGACTCCCAGCCCAGCTGTTTGTTTTGCGGTGCTGTGGAATACGTACATATCACTTGTGGGCAATTGTACACCGTTTTCAGAAATCTTCCGTTGTGCTTTTGGTTGGACTTCAGCTCTACGGTCCTGATCTTTTGTCATCCAGTGCAGAGAGGTACGGGCAGATTGGAGGACCTCTTGATGGGTCTTTGCTCCTGGGCCTGGTCCAGACGGTGGTTGTGGAGGGGTCGTCTCTGCCGACTGACCCCTGCTGCGGTTAAGTTCATGCCCAGGTGTCCTTGGAGAGGGAGTATGTGTCGTCGTTGATGCCTTTAGAGAGATGTGAACATCTCACGGTGGTACAACTCTTTGTCTCCCCTTCCAAATCCCTTTGGTCCCTTCCTGCCCTCCCTATGCCCCCCTCTCACTTTTGATGGATTGCATTGCCCATACCAATGGGCTTTGTTTATAAATACTCAATTGGTTACCTGTAATGGTGGTGGTTGCTAGTTGAGGAAAGAAAAAAAATACCAAGGGTGACGGGGAAAAAATTGTTCAATTATGTATAAGAGCACTGTGGATATTAAAAAAAAGCAGACTAGGGATGGTCTGTCCTGGGCTAGGACTAGCCTATGTAAGGCATGAAAAGTGGCTCTATATTGATGTTCAACAATAAATAATGTTTTGTTCCAGTCAGGCTTCCTGAGTTATTACAGGCAGTGGCTGATCCCAGTTTGTAAAATAAAATTTTTAACTGTTCTTCAGAGATTGGAAATAGTCATAGTATCCACCTATAAAGTATACTCTCCCTCTTGGTTGAAGCACACAACTTGAAACAGTGCAATGCTGAGAACATTTCAGAATCCCAACCTTTAATTATTATTTGACTTAACATCAACAGAAGAACTTCAAACTTACAGGCTCTGCACATGAATTGATGTTTTTATTTCATCATTCCGATTTGCGTCTGAATTTTTTTTTAAGCAAACAATATGTTGGCGCGATATGATTAGAACCTTGGCCAACTTCTCATTGGAAACTATTCGCAGAGAAAAAGCACTGGCAGTTTAAAGACGCAGGGAACAATATTTTAAACAGAGCTAAATGTCTCTGTTTTCAAATATATTGCTTATACTTTGGTGAATTCTTCAATAACAAAACAAAATCTATTAATATAGTTGTAGTTTTATGCACTATTTGAGGTGGTTTGTTTCTGTAAACAAAGTGCATAAGATATCTTTGACATACATGGTGGTATGTGATAGGCATGCTACTCATCCATTAGCAGCAAACAGCTTGTCCGTCATGGTTTTGTAATACATTTGGTATCTTGTCACTCGAGTGCATCATCAAGCCCATCCTTCCCTTCCTCACGCAGTCCTCACTTATTGGCAAATGCAGGCTCCTGCTTAAAGCTGATCAGGTTAGCCCTCAAAACATTGCCAGTTACCATCCATATGCACGAGTCCAGATAGCCTTCTTCCTGTACTCAGGTAAAAACCGCAGTGCCAGAAGTGTTGCTAGGAGAAACAGAAAAGGACACGTGTTAAAGATAAAAGGCATAACTTTACAGAAAACTATTGCCCGAGGTACAACAGGGTCATTGTGCTCATTTAAGGGCACTGGGGATAATCAACTCAAATATACAGATTTCATGACATGCAACTCAATAAGAGTATTACATATTAGAACACTGAACAGTACAGCACAGTACAGGCCCTTTGGCCCACGATGTTGTGCTGAAATTTTACCCTCAACCTAAGGTCTATCTAACCTCCACCCCCACCTTGTACTATCATATTACTTTTCTACATCAGACATACCCAAAACTAGGAATTCTGAGAATTGTTGAAGGATTTTACATTCTGTTCAGAGGTCTGCTGTGTCCCAATTTAAACGAGGGAATTTTGTCAGTATTCGAACAATATGACTGTCATGTAATTTTGTGTACAGTTCTGATCACCACATTACAGGAAGGGCACAATTGAAGTGGAGAGGGAGGACAGAGGGCGTTTACAAGAATGCTGTCAGGGCTTGAAAATTACAGCAGTGAGGAAAGATTTGATAGGCTAGTGTTCGTTTCCTTAGAGCAGAAAAGGCTGAGGCATGACCTAATAAAGGTTATAGTTTTACCAAATTTTTGTTAAGTGAGTTGATAAGTTGGTTTTCAGTTCTTATTTCAAGCGGGTTAGAGTATGAGAGTAGGGAATTTTTACTGCAACAGTACAAGGTGCTGGTGAGACCACATCTGGAATACTGTGAGCAGTTTTAGTCCCCTTATTTAAGAAAGGATACTATTTTAAGAAAGGAACCTTCAGAGAAGGTTCACTAGGATGATGCCCAGTATGGAGAGATTGGCTTATGAGCAAAGGCTGAACAGATTGGGACTTTCCTCATTGGAGTTTAGAAGAATGAGAGATGATCTCATTGAAACATATGCAATCCTTAAGGGGCTTGACAGGGTAAATGTTGAGAGGATGTTACCCCTCATGGGAGGGTCTAGGACCAGAGGGCATAGTGTCAGAATAAAGAGGTGCCAATTCAAGACTGAGATGAGGAGGAATTTCTTCTCTCAAGAGGTTTGAGTGTTTTTGGAACTCCTTACCACAGAGAGCTGTGGGGGCTGAGTCCTTGTGTAGAAAGGTGTAGATTCTTGATCAGTTGGGGAATTAAAGGTGATGGTGAGAGGGCAGGAAAGTGTACAATGCTGAATGTTGGATCAGCCATGACCTTGTTGAATAGCAGAATAGGCTCGAGGGGCTAAATAGCTGACTCCTGTTCTTATTTCTTATCTAAACAATGGGTATCAGTAATACCTGCTTCATAATTGCTGTTTAATGACAAAATATATTTTGATCTCACCCAGACATATTTAATCAGAAGTCAGATGACACCAGGTTATAGTCTGACAGGTTTATTTGAAATGTTATTCATCTTGTTGACACGCTGCTCACACCATTTGTACTATCTTCTGACACTCTTAGTTACTTAGAATTACCTTGCAATGATCTCTCTGCCGAGAATTCTGTGACTGTGCGCCTCCCTCCACTTCACCTGATGAAGGAGCAGCACTCTCAAAGCTTGTGATTTCAAATAAACCTGTTGGACTATAACCTGGTGTCCTGTGACTTTTGACGGTGTCCATCCCAGTCCAACACTAGCACCTCCACATCACTTTATCCTGTGACTTCTGACCTCACCTTAAAAAGTGCAGGTAGTCCAAAAGCCCATAACGGTGCAACAATAGCTGACAATTTAAAGCTGTGACAAGTTGTGATTCCACTCAGCGTTTTCATTGAAGCGTACATTGAGAGCGGGATAGGGGAAGGACAAAAATGACAAACGCATCGAAGAGACATCTTTGATCACAATATTGGCTGGTATATGTGTGTGTGGGGAGGAGGGTGTGAAAGGGGTCTGTGAACTGAAAGCATGAGAAATTTGCCGATCTGAAATCTTGGTCCCTGGGGGAGGTGGTGGGAGGACATTCTATCATTTAGAAATGAAACCTTCTGGGGCAGGAACTGAAGACAAATTAATTGGTGCTCTCAGAGTCTGGTGAAGCCTCTGATAATTGGTGGCACACTTCTTGGAGCATTATACGCCTAGAAATCCAGCTATTGTCAAGTGCAGATGTATAGCTCATTAAATCACATTTACTTTACTTCAATGGGTCTAACACAGGTATTCGCACTGGGTGATCAATTTGATTAATTCTAAGCATAGATAGCAAGGCAGATCTTCACCAAATAGTTCCAGGATGAAGGAAACTCATGAAAACAACTGGCCTATTAAATCTGCTCTGCACACAGAGAACCTTTGCTCTGTTGTTATGCTTCACTTACACTGGCAGAACATGACATGGGTGGTCTTGGCACCTGACCAGAGGCTTATATGCTCACATTGGAATGCAGCGAACAGCACTGATTATTGCAGGCCATTGTACACGAGTTGCGTGTGTGTGTGAGTGTGTGAGTGTGTGAGTGTGTGAGTGTGAGTGTGTGTGTGAGTGTGTGTGTGAGAGAGAGAGAGAGAGAGAGAGAGAGAGAGCCCACAGTGAACACCAGGTGGCATCTGACCCCAATGTTGAGCTTCCACTGTTATTTTAATAAGGGATATAACGTTTACGCAGCATGTGTGTCCCCTAAGGCCAAAAAGGAGGAGTTGGGGTTGAGAGAAAGACACATTCTGAAAGAACCACGCTCTCCCTCCAAAGGTGTTAGTGTCATACTGAGAGTGGGTGTGGTTAAAAAGTCTCTCTGACAGACCAAAAGAAAAATAACTGTGTGTGGATCTTATTCCAAGTTTTAAAAATCTACTGCTTAGTTTTAACTATTATTTAAAAAGAAAGCTTAAAAGCTCAGAGAAAAGAGAAACTTTGTGACATGATGAAATCCAGGGGAGTCAAGATATCCAGGGGAAGATTTCAAGGGAAGACAAAAGAAGTGGGGGAGTGGGAAAAGTAGATGGGAGAAACATCTTCACAAGATGTACAAATGGCAATTTCATGAATAGTTATTGGCCCAAAGTAAACAAAAAAATGGAACACAAGAGGGGAACACTAAAAAGTGAGTGAAAAGAAAAAGAAACAACATGTGTGCAGAGGTTATCTAAAAGAACTGACCGCAATATTGAACCCAGAATGCTTTAGAGTTTACCACTGAAACATGAGGTCCTGTTCCCCAGGCTCACATGATGCTTCTCTGGAATACAACAGGAGATTAATGTCGGTGAGATCAGAACAGGGCCAAGATGAAGAATTGAAATGGCAGGTAATAGATGCTCGAAGATACATCTGGGGACTGATTGGAGGCGCTTCCCAAAGCGAACAAGCACCCTGTGGTTTGGTCTCCCCAGTGCAGAAATGGTCAACAGTGAACACTGTACCAAACTGAAAAACGTACAAGTAAATTAGAACAGACTTGGTAGGGCCTTGGATAGTGATATGGCAGGAAGTAAGCTCCATTTCCCGCATGTGCAGTGAAAGATGCCCAACAGAAGGGAACGGGAGATAGTAGGAACTGCAGATGCTGGAGAATCCGAGACAACAAGGTGCAGAGCTGGATGAACACAGCAGGCTAAGCAGCATCATAGGAGCAGAAAGGCTGCTTAGCCTGCTGTGTTCATCCAGAAGGGAATGGGCATTGGAGATAAACGGAGGAGTGGGACTATGGTGTGACAGAGGGGAGGTTTCCTGGAGACTGCTGGAGAATTATCTGTTGAATATTGAGGTTTGTGAAGACAAGGGGAATCCTATCACAGTTCTGGGTTGGAGGGGATGGAGTGAGAGCATAAGTGTGAAAATGGGACTGACATGGTTAAGGACCTTGTCAATCATTGTGGTATTGCGTTGGGGGGGAAGGATTCCTTGCCTAAGGAAAACATATCACAAAGTTCTAGAAAAGATGGTTGAATCATCCAAACAGATGATCAGAGATGAAGAACTGGGAGAAAGGAATAGATCCTTGGAAGAAGCAGGATGTCAGCAAGTCACTGTGGGAGTTGGAAATAAAAACTGAAAATGTTGGGAATGCTAGCAGGTTAGGTCGCATTTGTGGATAGAGAAAACAGCTAATGTCATCTTTGGTCCAAAGCAATTCGAGATAAAATGTTATATCCCAAATGTGACAAAGAGGCTTGGATGTAACATTCTTAAACTCTAGAATACTGGCTTGGCAAATGGAATCTAAGAGCCATGACCGACAATATAATGAATGTGATGGGTACCTTGGCTACTCACTTCAGAAAGTCTTTGATGAAAATATGTTATACTGTCACATTAAGCTACAGTGTTTCAGCACCTATTGTGCCAGAAGACATACTTATATTGCTAATTGGCATCACTGTGAAGCAAGAGTATGGGAGTTCAATGATGCATGTTAAGATAAATACACACACAGAGAGACAGCTGCTCATCTGCCTGACTTGAGTCAGTTCTGTGCATGTGCTAAAAAGTAACTTGCAGGACATTTGGTATTTCCAACTGAAACAGATCTGCTGAACAAAGAAGACCAGAGTTTAAACATTTACAAAAAAAAAGTAATACCAGCTGTGGCAGGTCAAGTTCAGACAAAAGCTCATCAACCTGAAATGTTAATTATTAATCTCTTTCCAAAGAGGCTTCCTGACTACTTCTGTTTTTATTTCAGGTTTCCAGCATCTGCAGAATTTTGCTTGTGCACTGCTGCTGGTTATCTGGTTTACCGCTCTGTATAAACTGCCCAGTACATCTCCAGTCTTCATGTGGACTATTCATGTTACAGTGACCACGTTATTGTGGATTCTGAAGCAACAAGCAGTCTTCAGCATGTGGCTTAATAATTCTAGACGCTCACTTGTTTAATCACCAGCACATCCTTGCACACATCTCGTAAAGACCCAGAACAAAAAATATAGTGTTACAATTTGAGGAACCATGAAATATGAATGGCATGCTGAATAATTCAACATGCGTTAAATTTAATTTCTTCCCAAGACACTAAAACTAAACCCAGTATGTGGGACAGCTTATTTAACAATGTGTGGTCTATGGTGGGCCAACGTATTTTGTTCTCCGTCTCAAATTTTGGAAAGTTATCCTTGTTACGCCTGACTTTGTTTCAGCTTTGTAAGAATCTGAACATTCCTGATGAAGTAATAGCTGTAAGCAGCACAAAGATTTTCAGACTGGATCCTCTTCTTCATGACAGGAAAGTTGTAGAACCTTCATCTGCTGTTGTCACCAGGCAAGTCCATGTTATTGTTTCTCCTGGATTGGGGATCAACAAGAGGTTGAGACTGCCCAGTGCATCTCCAGTCTTAATGTGGACTTTCTGGGCCAGTATGTTTGTCCAGCCCTAGGTACCCTTGCGAAGGTGGTTGTAAGCTGCCTTCTTGAACCACTGCAGTCCTGGTGCTATGGGGAGATCCCATTTTCAATGAATTGAAGGGTTCTGACCGAGCGACAGTGAAGGAACAGTGATACATTTCTGAGTCAGGATGGTGAGCCACTTGGAAGCGACTTGCAGCTGGTGGGGTTCTCATGTATCTGCTGTCCTTGTCCTTCCAGATGGAAATGTTTGTGGGTTTGGAAGGTGCTGTCTGAGGATCTTTGGTGAATTTCTGCAGTGCATCTTGTAGACAGTACACACTGCTGCTACTGAGCGTTGGTGGTGGAGGGAGTGGATGTTTGTGAATGTAGTGCCAATCAAGCGGGCTGCTTTGTCCTGGATGGTGTCAAGCTTCTTGAGTGTTGTTGGGGCTGCACCCAACAAGGCAAGTGGGGAGTATCCCATCACATTCCTTACTTATGCCTTGTAGGTGGTGGACAGGCTTTGAGGAGTCAGGAGGTGAGTTACTCGCTGCAGTATATCTAGCCTCGGGCCTGCTCTTGTGATCACTGTGTTTATGTGGTGAGTCCAGTTGAGTTTCTGGTCAATGGTAAACTCAAGGATATGAACAATGGGTGATTCAGTGATGGTAACACCACTGAACGTCAAGGGGTAGTGGTTAGATTATCTCTTATTGGAGATGGTCATTGCCTGACATTTGTTTACCTGTCACATGTCAGCCCAAGCCTGGATATTGTCCAGGGTCTTCACTTAACATTGTTCCATTGCCGCAGCAGGGAGGAAATCCAAGAGGAGAGAGTTAAACTCAGAATTGTGGAAAAGACAGGCATGGGTTAGAATGCTGACAGGACACCGAGGACCTGACAAGAAAGAGTGTTTGGAGGCGGGATAGTAATTTGCAAAGACCTGATTATAGACCTGAGGAGACAGATAGAAGTACGGAGGCTGTGGAGGAAAGGTGGGTGACCAGCTTTCAAACCAGAGGGGAGGGTGTGCCTTAGAAAAGTGACAGCTGCAGATGCATGGTGCTGAATAGAGGATTAAAAGCTGGACCGTTGTGAGGTTATGAGAGTGGTTTTAAGTGATCTGGAGGAGAGCTTTAGCCTAAGATGGACACAGAAAGAAATGGTCTGGAAGTGGGTCAGGAGATACAAATGTTGAGGTACAACAAAGTGATGAAAATGTCAGATCAGCGACTGAGGAACGGTCACCGGACTCGAAACATTAACTCTGATTTCTCGTCACAGATGCTACCAGACCTGCTGAGCTTTTTCAGCAACTACTGTTTTTGTTTCTGATTTACAGCATCCACAGTTCTTTCAGTTTTTATTTAATGTCCTGGGGACCCAGGTTCAAATACCACCACAGCAGATGGTGGAATCTGAATTCAATAAAAAAAAAAATCTGGAATTAGGGGTCTAACAACGACCATGAATCCATTGTCGATTATTGGAAAAACCCATCTGGTTCACTAATGTCCTTTAGGGAAGGAAACTGCCATCCTTACCTGGTCTGGCCTACATGTGATTCCAGACCCACAGCAATGTGTGATTGACTCTTAACTGCCCTCTGGGTAATTACAGATGGGCAATAAATGTTGGTCTAGCTAGAGATGCCCTCACCCCATGAATGAATAAAAAAAAAGTTGGAACGGGTGGCTGTGATTTTGGCAAGTTGAATTCACGTGGAAGGAAATGTTTAGGTTGTGAATTCAGAGGAGACAGGGTAAAATGAACTGAGATACAGGCTGAGATCACCCAAGATGATGAGTAGCGTTACTCCTATTTCTAAGCTAATATTCCTTACTTCCAGACTCACTAGCCAAGGGAAACATCATATCTCCACCTCCCCTATCAGACCCTGGAAGAATTTTATAAGTTTTGAATGGGATCACCTTTCATTCTTTGAAACTCCAGATCACAAAGGCTCAATTTCCCCAATTTCTCCTCAAAAGACAACCTGCCACCCCATGGATTAGTCTGGTGAATCTCCATTGCACTCTCTCTATGGCAAGTAAATCCTTCCCTAGAAAAGCAGATCAAAATTATACACAGTACATTGGTCATGGTCTTCCAGGTTCCATACAATTGCAGCAAGATATCTTTACTCCTGGATTCAAACTGCCTTCTGCTGAAGCCCCAACAGACAGCTTATGATAAATAACAGTTCATTATTCTTAGCTGTGCCTGGACATTAGCTTTTGGTCACTCATGAACAAGAATAGCTCGGTCCCTTTGGATATCAACACATCGCAAGCCATCGTTAGTTAAGAAATATTCTGTGCTTTTGTCTAATAAAGTGGATACCTTCAGACTTAGGCACTTTATATTCCATCTGCCACAGAGTACAATATTCTGTGAGCAATTAGACATTCTGAGGGAAGAAAGTCTGTGAGAACGTGATTATTTGTTCATTCTATTAGAAGAGTCTCAGGGGGTAGAGGTGAGTAGTGATGCAGTGGGATAGCAAGTTGGAGTATTGGTTTAGAAGGTCGAAGAGACAGGGGATGGGAAAGTTAGCATCCCATCCCATGATTGCCTCAATGAGCTATAGAGAATAGATTGGCAGGACTGCTTGAAAGCAAAGAAGAAGTGATGATCTAAGGAGGGAATCAGAGGTGGGAAAACTACCTAAGATTGGAAAAGGATAGCTGGCAGCTCGGATGACTGGAAATAAAGCACCATAGAAAGCCCACAAAAGAAAGTGTCTGGAGCAATGGATTCAGGTTTGAAATGACAATTAAAATGTGCAAGAAAATTCAGGTCAATTAGGCAAGTTAGCAATTAAGACAGCTGCACCTTGTGCCATATGGATTAAAAATTGTTGTACCCAGTGACATCAACAAACATTACAAAATGTAGTTATCAACTGTCAGTCCATTTTTACTTCATCAACAATCTCATTGAGCGCATTTGAAAAAAAAAACCGAAAGAACTGCAGATGCTGCAAATCAGGAACAGAAACTGAAGTTGCTGGAAAAGCTCAGCAGGTCTGGCAGCATCAGTGAAGAAAAAAAATCAGAGTTAACGTTTCGGGTCCGGTGACCCTTCCTCAGAGGGTTTGAATGTTTATTACACTTGTGATGCAAAATCAAATGAACACTTTTAAGGAGATGGTTACTGTCAGAATTTTAAAAATATTCTATTCTGTTTAAGTTAATATTATACAAACAAATATCTAAACTAAAAAAAGCATAAAGCAGTTGTACTTCAATAACAATAGTTAAACATGATCAGTTCCTAGGTTTATTTATTTTTCTCCTGGATTTAAGACAACTTTTTCTTTGTGCCCTGATTGGTCCAAAACCACAGCCGTGATATGACAATGAAAATCTGGTCCGCATCATAGCCCAGGGAGCTGTTCCAAGCATCACAGAACTCCACTCCAATCACAGCATTACCAGAATGGCTGCTGGCACAGATTCCAAATGGAAGATCACCAATAAGATTTTTTAAAAATATCAAGCCACCCATTGTTAACATTTTTCGTTGGATGGTATACTGTACGGGACTAAAAACTCAAACTGCAAGAGATCCTTCTTAACATTACACATAGCAACAAAAACTGACCTCAATATAACTTTAGCCTAGCAGTCAAATTAAGTACAGGAATTAACCAGCCAGTATGATTTATGAACAAGTAAACTAAATATTCTGTTAAGGCTATCGAAGATTTTAAATAGAAGCAGCGATGTTACCTTTGATCACGTTCAACTTATCCAATGATAATATTTCACATGGGCATTCGGCTATGTTAAAAAGCCAATCAATGAACTGTAATGGGGAAACAGAATAATTAATTTAGGATCCAGATGAATAGAATATATCAAACAATTTCTTTTCATGCATAAACACTGACTCAATTTCTGTTAAGTGATTTTAAACAGTTGAGCTTGTGTATGAATACAATTTTCTGTTTAAGTTCCAAAGTGATGCAGACCATATTGTCTCAAATTATTCAGTATTCCAGGAATATATAAAGGTCACTTGCTTCCTGGGGACACATCATTGGGATTTGATTGTCAAAATGTACTGGTGCATAGAAATGAACTTCTGGTCTGCCCATCGAATAAATGTTATTTGTCTTGGATTCTTCCTGTATTATACATGATTTTAGATTATTCATGTTACTTTCTAAGTGTTGTGTAGACTGCCGTTTTTGTAAGTCCAATGCTTATTTCACCTGCAAACTTAACCATTTATTAGATTCACCGTTGATTAAGTCTTATTCACTCCATTACCAAGGGTTAAGTGCTGCGAGACTATCACTTCTCTTTACTAACCACTGAGTCCAACTGAGCTTCCTCTGACTCTGTCTCCAAGTTCAGTGATGTGCTTGCTTTACATGGTCACCTTGTTGGAACCCTCTTGCCTGATGGCCTAGGCTGTTTTCTTTTAAAATTCATTCCTGGACATAGGTGACACCAGCTAGGCCAGTCCTTGGTGACCATCCAACCATAACTGTCCTTGAGAAAGCAATGAAGAAGGATGTATTTTTGAACCGCTGCCATCGAGGTGGGTTTGAGGAGCACTTGCAACGGTGTAGTTAGGAAGGAAGGTCCAAGATATTTGCTCAGTGAGAGTGAAGGAATGGTGGCATTATTCCAAGTCAGAACAGTGCGTGGTTTGGAGGAGAACTTATCCCAGTGTTGGTGGTGTTCCCATGCATTTCCAGCCCGAGTTTACAGGTGCTCGAGGCTGTGGACTTGGGAGATGCTGTTGAAGGGTGATTCAATGTGCTGCATCTTGTAGATGGCACATTCTACTGCCATTGAGCATGAGTGAATATTGAATATGATGGATCAGTGCCCATCAAGCGGGCTGCTTTGTCCTGGATGGTGTCAAGTTGTTGGAGTGATTTTGGAGCTGCGCTCATCTAGGCAAGGATGGAGTATTCCATCACACTTCTGACTTGTGCCTTGTAAGCAGTGGACAGGCTTTGAAATAGACAGCAATTGAGTTAGTCACAACAGAATTTCTAGCCTCAGAGCTGTTCTTTTAGCCACAGTATTTTTATGACTGGTCCAGGTCAGTTTCTAGTCAATGGTAATGTCCAGTACGCTGATGGGGGTGTCAGCGTTGGTAATGATATTGAATGTGATGGAGAGACGGCTAGATTCTCTCTTGTTGTAGATATTAATTATCTGGTATCTGTGAGGCATAAATGTTACTTGCTACCTTCAGTCCAAGCCTGGATATCGCTGCGTTTGGACACGGGCTGTTTCTGTATCTGGAGTGGTGAATGATGCTGAACATTGTTCACTGATATTTGCACATACCCATTTCTGACTTTATTATGTAAAAAAATAGGAGATGTAGGCCATTCAGCCCTTTGAGCCTACTCTGCCTTTCAATAGGGCCATGGTTGATAATCCAACTCAGTCCCCTGTTCTCGTTTTCTCCCCATACCCTTTCATCCCTTTAGTCCTAAGAACTATAATCTAACTCCTTCTTGAAAACGTACAATACTTTGGCCTCAATTGCTTGATCTGGCAGAGAATATCAGGGGCTCACCACTCTGTGCATGACAAAATTTCTCCACATCTCAGACCTGTTTAATATTGATGGATGGAAGGTCATTGATGACCCAACTGAATATGGTCTGGCCAAGCACACCACTCTGACAATCTCCTGCGGTGATGATTTGAGATGGAGATTAATTGGCCTCCAATAACAAGCATCTTTGTCTGTGCAGGTATAACCAATGCAGAGATTACCCTGATTCCAGTTTTCAGTTGCCTGGATGGCTGGTTTGTGATGTAGAACGATGACAACAGCGTGGGTTCAAAGCCCACAACAACTGAGGTTACCACGAAGGACTCTCCTTTTCACTGTCTCCCCTCGACTGAGGTGTGGTGACCCTCAGGTTAAACCACCACCTGCCGTTCATCTCTAATGAGAAAGTAGCCCCATGATCCAGCAGGACTATGGCAACTTTATCTTTATGTTTTGTTTCTGCATACTAGCAATAGAAAAGCATCTTTACCATGTTGCTCTGTATACATGGTTTGAAGACGAAAACAAATACCATGTATTGGATATTCAAACTGCGACAAAAAGTGTTGCACTTTTTCCAAACAGGACTGAGAAAAGTTCCATTGTTGGTTTGGTGGGAAGCTGCATTTCAGTGATGTTGAAAGGAGTTAACACCTTCGCAATCAGCAAACTGAGAAAATCAGGTGAAGCAACTTGAATTCTTCAACACAAGCGACAGTGTACAAAGACCGCTAATTTTATTCATTGTGATTCTTGTTTAACCCAAAACAAAGCAGTGAGGGCTGTGGGCAGTCGAACTGTGTGAACAATCTCTCAGTTTAATGTCAGGCATTAACTTAAAAGCAAATATGTACAAATATACAAAAACAGAAGTTACTGGAAAAGCTCAGCTGGTCTGGCAGCATCTGTGGAGAGAAATCGTAGTTAGCATTTCGGGTCTGGTGACCCTTCCTTCTGTTCTGAGGAACAAACTATGAATGGTGGTGGACGATTAAACAACTCACTGGAGGAGACACCTCGACAAATATCCCAATCCGCAATGTTGGAAAAGCCCAGCACATCAGTGCAAAAGATAACCCTGAAGCATTCATAATAACCTTCAGCCAGAATTGCCGAGTAGATGATCCACCTTGGCCTCTTCCAATGATGCCAAGCATTACAGATTCTTTAGCCAATTTGATTTACTCTTTGTGATGTCAAGAAACAGTTGGAGAACTGGATACTGCAAAGGTTGTAGACCCTGACAACATTCTGGCAATAGAATTGAAGACTTGAGCTCCAGAACTTGCCGCTCCCTGATCCAAGCTGTTCCAGTACAGTTACAACACTGGCATCTACCTGACAATGCAAAAAATTGCCTGGGGATGTCCTGTACATAAAAAGCAGGGCAAATCCAACTCAGCTAATTACTGTCCCATTAGTCTACTCTCAATCATCAGTAAAGTGATGAAAGGTGTCATCAACAGTGTTATCAAGCAGCACCTCCTCAGCAATAACCTGCTCAGTGACGCCCAGTTTGGGTTCCGCCAGGGCCACTCAGTTCCTGACCTCATTACAGCCTTGGTTCAAACATGGACAGAAGAGCTGAATTGCAGAGGTGAGGTGAGGGGAGAGTAACAGTCCTTGACAGTAAGGCCACATTTGACCCAGTGTGACATCAAGGAGCCCAAACAAAATTAGAGTCAATTTGCAATTGGGGGGAGAATTCTGCAGGTTGAAGTCATACCTGATACGTAGGAAGATTTTCATGGTCGTTGGTCGTCAGTCATCTCAGCTCCAGGACAGCTCTGCAGGAGTTTCTCAGGGTAGTGTCCAAAACCAAACCATCTTCAGCTGCTTCATCAATGACCTTCCCTCCATCATAAAGGTCAGAAGTGGCGATGCTCGCTGACGATTGCACAATGTTCAGCACCATTCGTGACTCCTCAGTTACTGAAGCAGTCCTTCAAATGCAGCAAGACCTGGACAATATCCAGGCTTGGGCGGACAAGTGGCAAGTAACATTTGCATCACACAAGTGCCAGATAATGACCATCTCTAATAAGAGACGATCTGACCACCACTCCCAGACATTCAATGGTATTACCATCATCGAAACCCCCATTATCAACATCCTCCCCACTTGCCTGGATGGGTGCAGCTCCAACAACACTCAAGAAGCTTGACACCATCCAGGACAAAGTGGCTTGTTTGATTGGCACCACACCCACTCTTCCCACAAGCGATGCTCAGTAGCAGTAGTGTGTACCACATTCAAGACACGCTGCAGAAATTCACCAGTCAAATCCTATACCATTGTCTGCCAGTCCCAGCCTAACTTGCTTGAGCACTGACTCACAGATAGTAAGAACTGCCGATGCTGGATTCAGTGATAACACAGTGTGGAGCTGGAGGAACACGGCAGGCCAGGCAGCGTCAGAGGAGCAGGAAAAGCTGACGTTTTGGGTCGGGACCCTTCTTCAGAAACACTGACTCACCTTTTGCGTGTGGTCTTTCCACGGCTCTTTAGCCAGCAATAAGACAATGCTTTGCGGTAGAAGGTAAAAACATTGTTGCACTGACAAGGAGTCCACTGAACTTCCACCGAGAGAAGATTTCATGCAGTCGATGAAACTTTTCTCTTCACTCCATGGCAACCAGCTGGCCCGAACACCAAGCATCAGTGGTATTGTATGATCACTCCATGCAGCAACAACTGCAGCAACTATACTCAGCAGGAAGCCCACAGCCTGAAAAAGAAATGAAAACCCGGTCAATCAACTTGGACGAATACTTGCCCTTGACATCAGACTGCAGAAAATATTTTAAAATCACAATCCTTCGTTGGAAAAAAAAGACCCAGCATTTTCTGTTGTTACTCTTTCAGTCACATTTAGTTTCAGGTTCTCTTAGCAAATACAACTTTGCAGCTCATCTTCCATTCTGTCAACTTATAGATTTTAGCTGCAAGAATGAGGACCTCAAATACAAAACCCCAGCTTGCTGTACCTTCAAGAAAATGTGGGCGCTACAATTTTTTTTATTTAGTGTTAACAAGATAATGTTTGAAAGTAACCCCAAGGCCACATTAATTAGATACTAGCACATCTAGATGTTTATTTACTCAATGGCATAAAATCATATTAAATGACTGTATTAGGCACAAAATGTTGGTGAATAGAGAGCATATGTTTGTATCATTTTGCCGGCTTATATATTGTACGTGGTGAGTTTGACAATTATGTGTTTCTATGTTACACTGCACAGAGGGATGGCCTTTTCATTTGCACAACAATGGTGTGCTCTGCCAAGTCCATAATGGATTTATTCCAGTACAAGCTTGCTTCTATAAATGGCATTTAATGACTTCAATGTGTTTCAATTAACTTCAAGACTCCTAAACAATTCAAGTTTTAGGAGTTTCCAAAAAAAACTACTGCAAAATTTCCTCAAACAGAAAGCATTTCAGATTTAAAAGAGCAAACCTTGTGAAAAGAAAGGGATACCTCTTTAGGATCTGCATTCTGCATAGGAGCTGACCCATAAGCAACATTTCGGACATGTCCCATCAGCTCCAACAGCCATTCCATCCGTTTTATTACACCTGAGCAATAAACAAAAAATTGTTTTCTTTTTACGTCAGTAGTACCTTGGTTACTCTGCTCACTTTGCTTCTTCATGATCACAATGAGTAATGAGCCACTGAAAAGCACTTGCTTCCCTTCCTCGACACCCATTGTTCAAATAAAATGTTTTGTTAGTGACCTGATGCTGTTAACTCTTACACTGCCACTCTGTAAGTAAAGGTGCTGTGTGAGTGCAACTGAAAGTGGTTTGTCTAACTACAGCAGACATTTTGGTGACAGGAATCATGAGTTGTGCTCCACATGGCAACATGTCGCATCAAAGGGCATTGCAAAGGCCACATATTGTGCTCACAACAATTAGAACAGTGTTTCGAATAACGGGGCCAGTTGGCTAAGAGTCCAGTTTGGGATACAGAGTGATGCCAACAGCATAGATTCCATTCCTGCACAGGCTGAAGTTACCACAAAGGTATCTCCAACTCAAGCTGTCCCCCAACATGGTGACCCTCCAGTTAAAGCATCACCAATCATCTTTCTCTCTAATGAGAGAGAGCAGGCCTACGGTCTGATGGGTGCAGGTGACTTTACCTTCCCTTATTAGCCATAATTGGCATGGCTGCCCTCTGCAGGATAATGGAAATTAGCTAATTATCAAGAGTCTGATATCCTGGATTAAAAACACTCAACCTATCTGATACGTGTATGCTGCAACTCTGGCAGGACTGAGGAAGAAAGGTCATTAATTGGTGAGAGGTTCCCTGGTATCCTAGTGTCACACCGGAGTTTCCTTCCTGCCCTCAGGAAGAAGGCATTTCATCGGCTCCAAACAAGGCCAAGCAGCTGGGCTCAAGGACTTGGGCTGTGATTTCTTGCAGACTCAATATCTCAGAGATTGGAAAGGATTGACAGTCAGTCAACCACGAGAGCCCAGAACACTAACAGGTTTGGGGCACCACAAGGCCAGGAAAATGGCCAAAACCCAAAAGTCACCAGGAAAGCTCCAATCTTTTTGGCGGAGTTGGCAGAGTGTCAGTGTTCCAACATTGCTGCTGGCCCAGCAGTCTTCATCCAGGTGTTCTTGTCTCTAGGATAGCACATATCCCAGATGCACCATTCACTATAAGCCATCAAACTGCTTGTCCGACATCCAGCATGGGAGAGCAGAAAGTTTCTCCAAAGTCACTGGACTCAATCCAAACGGCCCTCATGAGACAGAATAGGAGGCTGGAAGGGTGGTAAAATGGATCGGGAAGGTGGCTTACAGGAAGCCCCAAACTGTCCTGTTACCAAAGGAAACAGATTGGCCAACTAGGGAACGCTGCAGTCAATTAATTGCCCTGTTGGTGGTCATTTTCTGGCTCCTGGTGGGAGATTCCTGCAGACGCACCCTTCCTCCCGCACAAGTGGCAACTTCCCTTCAAGTTATCGTAAGAAGCTCTGTGGCCCAAGGTTATACCCCTGCATCAATGGCTGCTTCTGGCGTGTTCACCCTTTCAATTCCCAGGGCTTGCCCGATCCTGAAGATCTAGCAATCACATGCTGGTCCCCTTGCCTGTCCCTCTGGGAAGTGCTGTATTAAGGGGACGTATTGCTGGCTACTTCCATCCCTCCCTGCCCCCTGATGCTACAGTGCTGCAATGGAGTTGTTTCTCTACACCAGGCTTGGATCACAAAGCCAACAATGTGTTGCAGTGTCAAAGAGTGGAGTGGCAATCCGGTGACGATCTGGGCCATTACTTTTACTAGTGACTTTTCAGAATGGTAATAAAACTATGCACTGCAGGCTTTATAGCCGTACAGTCCAAAGCACGAGCAAGCCAATGCTCCACTGGTCCAGCTTACCGGTGTTCTGGTGGCTGATGAGTCGACACTGGTAAAAGCTCTGCAGCAAAATCCAGACGACAGTCTCCATGTGACAGCTGCCTACTGCTGCAGCAATAACATCATTAAGACACAGCAAAGGAACCCGGCCTTGAGAAACCAGGTATGCTCGGACAAAGGTGCTCTTTGCAATTGTATCCTGCAAAAAAATTCCAGCCAGAGTCATTGAGTTAAAGAGACTAAATTAAACTATAATTTACAATGGCTGTGTTACATCAGCACCCAACAATTCACACACTTTCTTCTATCAAGATGATTTCATATCTATCTTGCACAAAAAGCTGTGATCTACAGTAAACATTTTATTGTCCAGCACTTCCGGGACCAGGAGACTGCCAATTGATTATCTGAAATATTTGATCAAGAGATCCATGTAATCAATGTAAAAACATACACTATGTAATACAGACGGGTATACACATCACTGTCATACTTTATTTACAGCATAAATCACTTCAATAATAATTCAACTTTGCCTTAAATAAAACTTACCGGTACAGAGCCTTTTCACTTACACCCTCAATTGACTACTCAGACAATGCAGTATTTGAGGAGAAATTGACTCGTAATTGAATCATCTGTGATATTTTGTGTGCCCATTTGATCGAACAAGATATTTACATCGTGGTAAATAACTTTTAAAAAAAACTACAAGAATTGGACAGAACAATAGAGTAAACTTTGTGGTATTTGAGGTATATACCTTTTGCCTCTTTATCAAGAGTGCTGGTTAAAACAAAGTATGGTATGTTAAAACATCATGTGCAATCTTCTGGAATTTTGACTCCCTGACTTTAAGGATCGATCACATTTGTGATTCAGATGGGTTGTTTATGACCACCAACAGTTCTGAGGAAGGGTCACTGGACCCGAAACGTTAACTCTGTTTTTTCCTCACAGATGCTGCCAGACCTGCTGGGCTTTTCCAGCAACTTTGTTTTTGTTCCTGATTTACAGCATCCACATTCTTTCGGTTTTTATTTAGTGGTTACACGGTCACTGTTCAGTGATCTTTTGATTCCAGTTTTGTTTAAAAGGTGAATTAAAATTTCACCATCTGCCATGGTGGGATTTGAATCCGAGTCTCCAGAACATTAATCTCGAGTTCTGGATTACTGATCCAAAGACATCACCACTTTCCCTCTCCTCATCCAACAGGTTGTGCATTTTGTTAGACAAACAGGAAGCTGGAAGAACACAGCAAGCAGGGCAGCATCTGGAGGAAAAGAGAAGTCAAAGCTTCAGGTATTATCCTCGCTTCAGAGAGACGAGGAAACTGAGCAATTTTACTGAATACACCTGCCAGTTGTAGCAGTAAAACCCTGCTTCAGACACTGGTTATGAGAACAGAGATACATAAACACCATGGGACTGTAGGGTGAAAATCTGAAGTATGTGGAAGGGAGTTGCTAACTTAAGCGACAAAGAGTGCTGAGTGGCATAGCAGCACTGGATATCTGCAGTGAGACTGAAATCCGGTGCAAAGTAGTGTGGAAGTTCCTTCGGTTTTGTCTCATGCTGGGTGAGGAATACCTTCAGCTTTGTGTCCATATACAGCTGCCATGTTTAACCCAGACTTGCACTTCTCTGCAGTATGAGGTTGTGCATACTTCTGATCAAAGATTGACAAGGTTCTGCACAGTAAACTGATCAGCAAAGTTAGATCACATGGGATTCAGGAAGAGCTTGCCTGTTGGATACAAAATTGGTTTGACGGTAGGAGACAAGAGGGTGGTGGTGGAGGGTTGTTTTTCCAGACTGGAGGCCTGTGACCAGCGGTACTCCACAGGGATTAGTGCTGGGTCCACTGTTATTCATCATTTATATAAACAATTTGGATGAGATTTTAGGATTAATGGTTAGTTAGTTTGTGGATGACACCAAAATTGGTGGTGTAGTCAACAGTGAAGAAGGTTAACTAAGATTACAAATGGATCGTGATCAATTGGGCCAATGGTGTGAGGAGCAGATGAGCTTTAATTTGGATAAATGCAAGGTATTGCATTTTGGTAAGAGGAACAAGGGCAGAACTTACAGTTATTGGTAGGCTCCTGGGGAGAGTGACCTAGGGGTTCAGGCACATAGTTCCTCGAAAGTTGCATCATAGGTAGACAGGGTGGTTAAGATGACATTTAGCACCTTTGCCTTCATTGCTTGGACCATTGAGTATAGGAATTGGGATGTCATGTTGCAATTGTACATGATATTGGTGAGGCCACTTTTGGAGTACTGTGTACAGTTCTGCTTGTCCTATTATAGGAAGGATACTAAGAAATTGGTGAGGGTTCAGAAAAGATTCAGAAGGATGATGCTGGGACTGGAGGGCTTGAGTTATAAAGGAGAGGCTGGGATTTTTTTCACTGGAGTGTAGGAGACTGAGGGGTGATCTTACGGAGGTTTATAAAATCATACGGGGCATAGATAAGGTGAATAGCAAAGCTCTTTTCTGTAGGATGGGGGAGTTCAAAACTAGGCAGCATATGTTTATGGTAAGAGGAGAAAGATTTAAAAGGAACACAAGGGGCAACTTTCTCACACTGAATGTGGTTCGTAAGCGAAATGAACTGCCAGAGGAAGTGGTAGATGCAAGTATAGTCACAACATTTAAAAGACATTTGAACAGGTACATGAATAGGAAACATTTAGGAGGGATACAGACCAAACACAGACAAGTGGACTACTTTAGCTTGGGAAACTTGGTCGGCATGGACAAGTTGGGCCAAAGGGTCTGTTTCCATGCTATATGACTACAACTCTAAAGATTATGGTGACCTTCTCGACGTTAGTCATTTTGCTCTGCAGTTACTTCTTCCAAATCGAACACCACTCACAGTCACAGAACTTCACATTAAAGGGTTACAAAAATGTGCCAGGATTGGAAGAAAAGGCAGAGATGGTCTATCACTAGACTCTCAGTCATGTTGGAAGGGAACAGGTCGCACAGTGATAACGCCCCTGCCTCTGAGCCAGAAATCTAGGTTCAAATCCTATCCCCAGACTTGGTGGTTGAGGCAACTGCGATCATAATGCAATCAAACAAATTGAGGACCAATACAGACCAATGGCAGGCAGTCAGCCATAGTTCCAGGCTCTGCCATGTGTACACGTTACCACAGCGGCTCAGAGTCATGGGGAGCCAGCTGGCTTGTCTTCTAGATCTGCATTCCAGCTGTGGATTTGGAACTACTCTGTGTGGTGGAGATCATAATTTGTGCAAAGAACTGAAGATGATGGTGAACAAAGGTAACAACAGACAAGTGGACTACTTTAGCTTGGGAAACTTGGTCGGCATGGACGAGTTGGGCCAAAGGGTCTGTTTCCATGCTATATGACTACAACTCTAAAGATTATGGTGACCTTCATGACCTCCATGGATATCTCAGGTTCCTTCTCAACCTTTGCCCTCCTGCAGTTTCACTCCTCTCTCCTCATCAGTGAAGGAGATGGTAGACTACAACAATCTTGGATGCCCTTGTTGGGACATATTGAAGGGGGCTTATAGACTCGTCCAGTCACCTGAACAGCAAACCAATCTCTTGCTTTGTTAGTGCCCAGGTGATGATAAAGCTTATGTTGGATCTCTGCTGTGGGTCGATGATGGGATTCTTCAGAGGAATCTGAACTCAGGTCATCAGCACTAAAAAGGAATGGGGAGGTGCTTTCAAAAGTGCTACACTTGTCATCTTCCATAATGAACAGATAAATTCAGATTTATTCAACTAGGAAAACAAATAAAGGTCAAGTTTCCCATGGGCTCTCAGTTTGTGTCTTCTGTGTATTCTTAATGAACATTACCTTGGTAACTTGGGTTATTCTGTCGATCTCAGTATCAGCCAGTTCAGAAAGGCACTTGGTGATTCCAACATAAAACTTCAGCTCACTGACCTGAAAAGGGAATAAGGATATATGAATGTGATTAACTGATAATTTATGAAGGAAGAATTTCAACTGGAGAGGTGCACCAGCAGTCAGTTAAAATAATGTTTAACGGTGATACTGTTCTGTTTTTCTCACAATAAAATTACATCTTACGCTACAAAAAGATGGGCAGTGATGATATGAGAGGAATTGGCTTGAAGGAGAATAATACCCAGGGAAACAGCTGAATAAAGCATGACAATAAATTGTTGTTACCGACAGTTCATGTGACACTTGCAAATTCTGTTGATTTGGTCACTCCAAGCCAACTATCCTAAGTAATCCATAGAATTCCAACATGTCCACATCAACTCTCTGAGGAGCATCCCACTCAGATTCAACCCCTTACCTTATCCCTGCACTCACCACAACCATTCCACCTAGCCTTCACATCCCTGGACACTACGGGCAATTTAGCATGGCCAATCCACCTAACCTGCACATCTTTGGGCCGTGTTAGGAAACCGGGGCACCTGGAGGAAACCCGTGCAGACACAGGGAGAATGTGCAAACTCCACACTGACTGTCAGCCAAGGCTGGAATTGAACCTAAGTCCCTGGTGCTGTGAGGTAGCAGTGCTAACCACTGAGCCACCGTGCCATCCTACTCATCTGTTTAGTAACAGTTAAAATCAGATAGTAGTCCCTGCGAGTTCATCATATAATTAAGCGGAAAAACAGAAGTTGCCCATTGCTGGTTAGGGCAAACTAGCTGATATTGAACAGGATGTTAATTATAACGAGCCTAAGCACTACCAAATAGTGAATGATAGCCCAGGAAAGCAGCAACATCTTCAGAAGAGGAAGGTGAAAAATTGAGAAAACAATTAAATTCCATAACATTAAAAAAGGAGGCATAATATTGGCACTACACAATGTGCTGGATTTATACTTTTGAATAAAAGCAGAGGCAAATCATGGGAAACAAGATGGTCTTGTTGGTTACATTATAATGAAATAATTAGATTAATTATTAAATAACAGAAAGGTCTGTGTATTGGCCATACATCAAATGCCTGATTTCAATCGTCCAATTCCAAGAAGCCAAATCATGCTCAGTCTTCCAGAGGGAGATAACAGAAAATAACAAATGGGAAGTTGAATCATGTTAGAACACTCATCCTGTACGTTACACAGAAGGACTTGCAGACTCCAACTTCCAAAGAAACAATTTGTTCATAATGTCTTCTCTGTAGAAATCGAAGAAAATTGAAAACAATTCCATAGATAGACATCCTTTCAATTATTATTGGTAACTCATTTCCACTTGATTAAATTTTAAAGGCAGCACTGAAAAAACCACCTAACTTATGTTTTAAGGTCCATTTATAATTTCCAACAGCTTCAAGATTTTCAGGTTTTAAAGTCTGTATTTTAAGGAATAGTACAATCGGATAGATTTCTGCAAAGTACCGAAAGAAAAGTACAGCGCAAATATAATGAAAGTACCTCCCTCTATTTCCCAATTATGTATAAAATTTTTTAAGAGAAGGAACTATCAAATTAACTAACAACACAATAAAGATTCCTTCCAGTTCAGGAGAATGGGGACCATATTAGATGTCTGTATGAGAAAGCAGACTATAAGCCTCAATAAATGTAATAAAGTTATAACTAACTAAAAGGCAGGTGGTTCTCAGCTGTAGTGTGTAATTCAATAGACCACAGCCATTCAGCAGCTTCACTGTAAACCAATCCAACTAATCAGGTTCAAGAAATGAGTCCAAACAATACACTGCAGATAACAGCTGGGCTCCTGTTTATAGATTCTCTTTTAAGAAGAAAGATCAAAACCATTGCACTGATGTGGAATATTGCAAAAGTGAATAAAACACATTACTGCTTTACTCTTGAAAACTCGCAGTGTTCTGCTTGTGAGGTTTGGGATTGGAACACACTATCTATAGGGACTTACAAAAGCTAATGTGCACCAGCCCGATTTTTACCCAAAAATAAGTGAGATTGTCCCAGAACAAATTAATTACACGATTCATCCACAAAATCTTTCAACAAGAAAACAATAAAATCTTTTTCTTGTCTTCTTTTCCTTCCATAAATCACAGCTTGAAAAAATACAAATTGGACATCATTTGACAAATTCTTATTTATTTCACTTCTCTTCTAAACTGTTAAATCCTGGTTTTGGTCTGTTCTAGAAAACCAGGTCCTTCATCCTAATTCACATCAATAAAATGGAACGTCTGACCATTAAACAGAAAGGTCACGTCAATACCTGTAGCAAACAATGAATGAAATCAGGATAGCAGCCTTCTTGATGTGTCACTGGATTAATAGTCCAGAGAGTGGAAAGGAAAATACTGGCAATACTCAGGAGGCCAGGCACATGTCCCATGTGTAAGAAGAAACAAAATTAATAATTCAAGTTAATAATCTCCCAGTACGGCAGTTATCAACTTGAAATATGAACTGCATTTCTCTCTCCACAGTTGCTACCTGACACAAGTATTTCTGTCAATTTCTATTTTTATTTCCAAAATTCATAATATTTTGATTTTATGATCATCTGAATACACGAGTTCAAATCTTATGAAAGCAGTCAGGAAACTTTTTTGTGTATTTTTCTTTATTCATTCACGAGATGAGGCCAGGCAGCATTTATTGCCCATCCCTAATTGCCCAGAGGCAGTTAAGAGTCAACCACATTGCTGTGGGTCTGGAGTCACATGTAGGTCAGACCAGGTAAGGATGGCAGTTTCCTTCCCTAAAAGATGTTAGAGAGCCAGATGGGTTTTTCCGACAATTTGCGGTCATCATTGGACTCTTAATTCCAGATATTTATTGAATTCAAATTCCACCATCTGCCGTGGTGGGATTTGAACCTCAGGTCCCCAGAACATTACCTGGGTCTCTGGATTAACAGCCCAGCGATAATACCACTAGGCCATCGCCTACAAAATCAACTCAATAAATCTGATTCAAATCTAGGATTAGAATTGGCGACATTAAAATAACTGTAGGATTGTCATAAAATTCATTTAATTCACTGTTGCAGGAAGGACATCAGCCTTCTTTACCTGGTCTGCTCATAAAAGACTCCAGGCCCACAGCAATGTGTTTAAATCTTACCTGCTGTATGAAATCATCAAGAAAGATACTCAAATGTATTCAAGAAAGTGTAGGAGGCTGAGGGGTGACCTTACAGAGATTTACAAAATCATAAGGGGCATGGATAAGGTGAATAACCAAAGTCTTTTGCCCAGGGTAGGGGAGTCCAAAACTAGAGGGAATACATTCAAGGTGAGAGGGGAAAGATTCAAAAGGGACTGAGGGACAAATTTTTCAGACAGATGGTGGTGCATGTATGGAATGAGCTGCCAAAGGAAATGATAGATGCAGGTACAACAGTTAAAAGACCTTTGGACAGCTACATGGAAAGAAAAGGTTTAGAGGGATATGGGCCATACACAAACAAATGGAACTAGTTCAGTTTAGAAATCTGGTTGGTAGAGAGGAGTCAGACTGAAGGGCCTGTTTCTGTGCTGTACGGCTCTATAAAGCAGTTCACCACCATCTTCTCAAGGTTAGTAAATGTTGGCCTTGCCAGTGCCACCCATGTCCAATGAGTGAAAAGATATTTACAAACTTCTCCTTTTAAATTTTGTCCTCACCTTTTACTTCACAACAGCCACCAACTACAAAACTACATGCTCTTTCGCATTTGTGTTCCCCAGCCCTCCTTGAACTTATGCCCTCAACTTTCTCCCGCACATCTTTCCAAGCCAGTTCTTGACAAATTTCCACTTCCAGGTTATAATCACCCTTTTGAGAACTGCTACCATCACTGCCTTTCTTAAGCCATCAATCCCTCTATTTGTACTAGTCACAGCCCTATCTCAAATCTACTTATCTCTCCAAGGATATTTTGGACATATTGTTGAACAAATAATATTCACCTCCCTCACCACTCACTGTCCTACAGATCTGGTTTCTTCCCCAAACACAGGATTCAAGTTCTCTCATTCAATGTTACCAACATTCTGTTTGACTGTGGTCCACAGTCCCTGCTGAATCTCTCTAACTTTAATACTGCTATCAGATTTTCCCTCTTTTCTGGAATCCTTGTCTACGGTACTATTTTTTGATTCCAATCATAACAGTCTTTCATATATTCTCAAATATCTTTCCTTTGATAGCCAACAGTCATTGTTGGTTTACGCTGGTTAATATTTTTTTCTAGTTTATTGATCCCTTGTATGTTGTTCATTTATATTCTCATCACTAATCAATTCTCTCGAGGGCTTTCCTCAATAGCCTGCCTTCAGACTTGAGTTAATCCAGAATTCTGTACCCTGCATTTTTTTTTCCCAGGAGATAATCACATATAGTCATCACCCTGTGCATCAACAGGTCACTTTTAATATTCTCATTCCTATTTTCAAATCCTTCCATGGTGTTCCACCATCCAAACAAAGCAACCTCTTTCTGGTCATATTTCTCTCAACTTCATCCCTGCTCCACTGATTGTAGTTAACCGTATATTCCTCATACTATCGACACCAACATTGAAAATTAATCAGGTATTGCATTCACTGGAATTCTCTCCCAAGACTGCTTTGTCTGGGTACCTACCTGTCTGCCTTTAAAGGCCCCAAAAAATCCAGCTGATTATGCTTTCGTCCCATACCTTATGAGTCTCCCAATCTGACAGGCTCCCTTTTCATCATTTGTTTCAGCGCTTAAGGGGTGACCTTTTATGTGACATATGCTGCGTCAATTAATTTGGGTGTTGATGCAGAAAAGCAGTACCTGGATTTCATTAGGTAGCATTTCAAAGATCATCGCAACACTTTTGCACAATATGCTCCAGCTGTGCTGCACTTGCGTTGGAACCTTCATCGCTTCATTTAGCCCTTGTAGAATGGAATGACACAGGTCTGGGCTTTTCTGCCTGTTGCCTGAGGTAAAGTATTGGACTGCAAGCACTTCAACAAATGTTTGAAGTTTATCTTCAGACACATGTTTCATCCAGGAAGCAAGAGACATGAAGAGGTATTTTCTTGTCTCCAACTGGAATTAAAACAGAAGCACAGAATTTAAATGAAACAAAGAATACTGGAAATCCAAAACAAAAACAGAAATTCTTGGAGAAACTCAGCAGATCTGGCTGCATCTGTGGAGAGAAACAGTTAATGACTCTTCAAGTGTCACTGGACCTGAAACATTTACTCTGCTTTCTCTCCACAGGCGCTGCCAGACCTTCTAAGTTTCTCCAAGAATTTCTGTTTTGTTACAGAATTTCAAACTTGATTGAAATGAAATCATGACTGGCAGTGAAAAGGAACTTGTTTCCAAGTTTGAAATTCATACATGTTTTGCTGATCTGGTGCAGAATTCCTTGTGAAATTAAATGATTCCCTGCATTATAAACGATGGTAGCAATAATATCTTGTAACAAATATGTACCATTCTACTGCGGCAATAAAACTGTTTTTGGTGAATTTTGTTACTATTGAGGTTGTTTGTCCAACATTGCTGTTTTAAGCTGTAACTGGAAAAATTCACTATAAGATTGCAGACATTGTGGTTCAGTTTTTCCTGCTCTGAAAACAATTCCTGCACACATTCCAAATGAATACCTTAATTTTATTTTCATTTGTGCTTGTTAAAGGCATCATGTGGAGACTTGATCCTGATAGGAAAAATGGGGAGGCAATGACACAGTGATAATGTCAACAATTCCGAATTCAAGCTAATGCTCTGGGTACACGAGTTCAAATCCTACCATGGCAAATGCTAACATTTGATTTCAATTTTAAAAATCTGGAATTCAAAAGCAAATCCAGTGGTGACCACTTAACCATTGACTGGAAACTGAACCAGACCAGCCAGGTGAATATTGTGAATATAGAAATACGAGAGAGTGTTAGGCTATTCAGTCATATGAAACTCTCCTACTCAATTCACAATGCCTGTGTACCATTTCCAAGGCAGACTTCAGGAGCGTGAGGGAATACTCCCCACTTACCAGGATGTGTGCAGTTTCAGCAACACTCAAGAAATTTGATGCCAACCAGGAGAAAGCGAACTGCTTGATTGGCCCCACTTTCACTATTTTCAACATTTAACAGTCACTGCCTTCATTAACACACGATGGCAGCTGTGCATACCCTCTACTAGATGTGCTGCAATAATTTACCAAGGCTCTTCCGATAGCACGTATCGGACCGGCAACTTCTATCACTTTGAAGAACAAGGGCAACAGATGTGTGAAAACACAGCACCCTGCAGTTTCTTTTCCACGCCACTCACCTTCCTGACTGTGGTGTGAATATAGGAGGTATGGTTACTAAGTTTGCAGATGACACCAAAATAGGTGGTGTACTGGACAGTGATGATGATTATCTCGGAGTAAAATGCAGGTAGACATATGGGCAGAGGAGTGGCAGATGGAGTTTAATTTGAGGTGTTGCATTTTGCTAAGGCAAACCAGGGCAGTACTTATACAGTTAATGGTAGACTGGACTGAACGGTCTGTTTCCATGCTGTACGACTCTATGACCTAAGGGGTAACTTTTTCCATGCAGAGGGTGGTGTGTGTATGGAATGAGCTGCCAGAAGAAGTGGTGGAGGCTGGTACAATTACTACATTTAAAAGGCAACTGGATGGGTATATGAATAAGAAGCATTTAGAAGGATTTGGGCCAAGTAATGGCAAATGGGACTAGCTCAGATTCAGATGTCCGGTCAGCACAGATGAATTGGGCCAAAGGATCTATTTCCATGAAGTATGACTCTATGACTGCATTTGAGCAACAAGAAGTTGTATTTGGATAATACCTTCAGCACAATAAAACATCACAAAGGTGCTTCGCAGGGGCATTAAAAGAAAACGAAATTTGACACTGTCACGTAAGGAGGTATTAGGGCAGATGACCAAGTTTGGGTCAAAAGGTGGGTTTTAAGAAATGTTTTAAAGGAGAATAGAAGAGGTAGAGAGGTCAAAGGAGGAAATCCAGAGCTCAGGCAGCAGGTTGTATGGCCACCAGGGGTGAAATGATAACAAGGTGAGCTAAGCTCAAGAGGATGGAATTAATTATTACTTGTAGAGATGGTCAGAGAAACAGGAAGAAAGGGTTAGCAATAAAGGGATGTGTTTTGAAACTGAAGTGTGGCTTTACCTGGAGTCAGTGTAGGTGAGGGAGTACAGGGTAATGGATGAATGGAACATGGTAGCAGAGTTTGGATGGGTGTTTATGGATGCTAAAAACCTGCCATGCTTTAGTTGAGCAGTCAAGTCCAGAGGTAAGAAAGATCTCATATTCCTGGAGCAGATGAGCTGAACCTGGGATGGAATCAGGTGATGTCACACAGGTCAAAACGGATTGTCTTGTGGTAATGGATATTTAGTCAGATGTACATTGTGGGATACGACACCAAGGTTACAAACTTGCCTTCTCAATACTTAACTTGGGAAACTTCCTGCTCACTCAGCACTGGATGTCAAATAAGCAGCCTGGTCATTTAGAAATAAAGGATAAGAGAGTTGGTGAAGACATAGAGTTGTGTCTAGCTAGGTGCCAACAGTGTACAGGTAGAATCGGATATTGTTCTTTTGGGAGATGTTGCCTAGGGGAAGGATGTTATCCCTATTTTGGATCTACAATGTACACAAGGAGATAAAAGCCAAGGTTGCAAATTTGGTGGTTATGAATAGAAAAATAAAATACATTCCTACCTACTTGGATGAAAATGGAGACACACTTAAGGAAGATGCTACGGACAACTGCAACGAAGGTTGCAGATGGGTCAAGGAGGAACAAAAGGCAAAATTCATGTTTTTCACATTGGATATTGTTTGTGACTTTTGATGACAGCAGCTTTGCCAATGCGGTAGGGATTGGGGGAGAGCCTTAGAATCATAGAATCCCTACAGTGGGGAAGCAGGCCATTCAGCCCATCGAGTCCACATCATCCCTCCAAACAGCCTCCCACTCTAACCTATAACCCTGCATTTCCCGTGGTTAATCCATCTCACCTGCGCAACCCTGGACACTGTGGGCAATTTGGCATGGGCAACCCACCCTAAACTGGACATCTTTGGACTGTGGGAGGAAACCGGAGTACCCGGAGGAAACCCACATAGACATGGGGAGAATGTGCAAACTCCACACAGACAGACGCCTGAAGGTGGAATCAAACCTGGGCCCCCAGCGCTGTGAAGCAGCAGTGCTAACCACGGAGTCATCCTGCTCCCCTTTGGAGGGACTGAAACATGGATTTCCAGGAAAGACTGACAAACATTTGGGGAATAACAATTCATTCGGTGTTTTTGGAGAGAAAAGGGAGGCTGAAGCTGGCCTGTTATCTTGTAAGAATGGGGCACACACAGATGGTTTGTCTTGAAGACAGGGTGATGGCAGCAGATTAGAATGAGAGAAGCTGTGTGCCTGAATACAGAAAATCTTTAATAACATCAGTTATGTGTGAGGCGTGGCATAAGAGAAAACAGGACAGCTATCAGAGTGTGATGCTCAGATGGGTACGAACCTTAGAAGAACATGACATGATGGGCTACAAAGAGAAACAAGCAAATAGCCTCTGGATAATTGCAATCGATGTGAACAACAGCCCATGAGCTCCTCACGCTTGTTAAAGGTGCTGGGTGGAGGTGGGGAGAGGAGTTTAAGACATGGGTTTGCAATGGGAATAACAATCCAGGGTTATTGAACTTTTCTGGATGTCCATGGACTGGGAAGCAGCTTTGGCAAATGACAGCAGGACCAATCGTGCTTTAATATAATGTATTCATAAGCCCTGTGACTCTAGTCAAAGGAAACCTTATATGTGACATTCCTTTTAAGAATATCACTAACAATTTCCACGTGTGTCGTACAGACTGAACAAAGAAAGAAAAATATCAGAAAAAATTGCATTTATAATGGATACATAGATAAAAAAATTAATACATACGTTAAGGCTGTACACTAATGGCGGTGCCACCCACATTCCTAAGAACATTGCAGCACTTTGTGATGTCTGAGCCTGGGTAACTGCTATTTCAATGCAGTGCTGCTGAACATCTTCACCTACAATAAAGAAAGTAACAGCATTAAAGCTGGTATCTTACAGCATGACCACTGCATGGCACTGTTTACTTTAGAAACGGCTGAAGAGGTAGCTGTTTCCTAACACAGTTAGAACAAGGCACTGACAATCTTGATTTCCAAACCATTTTCCTCAGTGAACTTAAGATGAGGCCATAGCATCTTGATGGACCATGATTTATTACCAACAATTCCCGCATTCCAAACAATTTGGCAATGCAGCTAGCACGGGAAGCAAATTCTGGCCCAATACATTTGCAATACAGAACTTAAAATTACAGAGCATTGGTGCTCAGGAAGCAGGGGATATTGTAAATCATTGTCACTGTATTTCAAATTCTTGCTATCATCTTAGAAAAAGGTGAATCTTAACGTACTCCTGCAGTCATTAAAAGAGACAAACAGTTCTTTCACTGTTCAATGAGTACAACAGCAGGAGCTTACGTAGTACAAATCAACAAAAATTCTCAGTATTTACAGACAGTTCATTTGACTAGACAGGCTCAGTGATAAATTTAACGACTAGGCTGAATCTCCGGGAACAGAGACAGACACAGACGTCGACAGAGACAGACAGACATACATACACACACACACACACACACACACACACATCACCTCCGTTGAATTAATTGAGTAGTTGCAGTTTAGCTATGCTGAAAATTTTAAGACTTGAAAACTTATTTTTTCAAGAACTGTTTAAAGGAATGTTCCGATTTAAGCTCTTAGGGTGATAATACATTACAAACAATAAACATCATTTTAATGTCACTGGTTATGTTCATTACTCAGTGACCAACTTCCCAATTACAGACATTTCAAACACTTATTTTTTTTACAGAAATGGAAAATATCTCAGTTCCCTTTCACTGTTTTCTGCACTTTCAAAGCAGCTGGACACAAGTCCAGGTGAAGAAATACAATATTTGATATATCTAGCCTTAAAATCCAACAAAAATAGTGATCCTGACTGAAAGACCAACTATTTTATACCGAGTTTGAAATATAAATGAAATTGTTGGATACTTCTTCCACAATACAAGGTTAAGGCGATTGTAGGCAAACCACTGGTAACTGAAGACCCCTTTAGAAGTATGCAGAAAACTGTAAAAGGTGTGATGTTGGGGGAGATAACATGAAGGGAGAAATTTTACATTTCTGCAAAAAGCTTTTGAAATGTCTCTAATTAACAAGATTAAGGCAATTTTCAGTCAGCCACGGTCATTAAATACCCTTTAAAAAAGAAATGAACAAAATAACTCTTCATGAATCAATGGATCTTACGATGCGCTGCATTATAAACAAACATTACACCTTTGAGAATTTACCAAAATTCAGTCTCATAAGTGGTGAAAGTATGGAAGCCCAATTAACAGGGGGATATTGGTAACTGCTCCCACATCTAGCAACAGGCCCCAACAAAACCTTCACGAGCTGGGCAGGAATTCTCTCAGGACCTGAAAATGAAAGAAGAAAACCAGATGTAAAAAAAACGCAGTGCAGCGGTAGCATGGTATGTTAATGTGGATTGTTGTGGTGGACTGATTTTGAGTTCATTTCAAGTTCATTTATGCAACTGCTTAGACTGGCAGAAGAAATATAAGAGTGGTTCAATGTGTGTAGTAAAACTACAAATGTACTTGCAAAGGCTTATATTGTTCACTGTGAATGTGAAACAGAGCACACAGGGTACCTTGGGTGTTCGACACCAGCAGAACCAAAACAGATCCCAAATACAGGAAAATGTACAAAAGATGTAGATTGACAAATTATTGAATAAGCCTACAAAAAAGTGACAGTTTCATGACAATGTTAATCTCAGGGTTCAGACTATTATCATAGCATGGTTGGGTCATCAGACATCCTCCAATTAGGTTTCTAACAATCATTCCCACATATCCAAAACTAAACAGCCGAACTCCTCATTTAACTTAATGCTTTAGTTCAGTACCAGATGCTTAATAGTCTTTACACAAAAGGTTGAAACCACTCTGAGGACATCTTGTCGAAACGTACATGTAGGTTTGTCCCAGTTTATGGGTTAATGATTTACACACCACTCATGCGTCATTTAAGAAAAGCCTAATGGAGCAATCTAAACGGAAACTGTTCCCATACTACCACAGAAACACCATAATACACAGATTTTGGGTTGAACATATATCTGCCCTGGAAAATTTCCATTGAGAAATCCAAAGGTCAGTGCTTTGGGCAAGATGCAAACTGATCTGGAAATGCCACAGCTAGGTATTGTTGTGTTTGACTTCAGGTATGTGTTTTTTAAAATCTTTTGGGTCTATGCTGGTCCTGGCAGGAACTGTTGCTACAATCCTGATGCCGTCTTCAGTGGCGACGTATCATCTCGCTCAACTGTGTAATGAGCAACTGTGACAGTCAGTCCCGTTGTAGACCAACACACTCGGCTCAAGAAGTGCATGCCAGCTGCTCCAGTGAATGGGGCTGTTCAGAGAAACAGGCAAACTGCCCAGGAACACTGAACTGAAGTGCAGCTGTGAGAGTGTGAGCAAATCTGAAATAGGAGTTTCCATGGGAGGAGTGAGAAAAGGCACAATAACTGATGTAGGCTGCAGATACCCATGGCTTTATTTAGCAAATGAGTTCGAGCTGGGAGTACCTTGCATTCCCCTAGGCTTTTCTTCTCCTTTGGGTAATGCAACAAATTTGTTTATGGATAGCACACTTCGGAACGGTAAGTTAATACCCCAAAGGCTGCAATTAAGAGGCGTCTCTCCTGGAGGGCAACATACAAATGAAAGGAAAGCAATCTCAAATCGGCCAATCCAACTCAGAAAAACCTACCGTGTCCCACTGCACCATCAACCTCGCTCCTTGCCAGAGGTGTGGTAATCCTCAGGTTAAACCACCAACAGTCATCTCCCTCTAATAGGAGACATACGGTCCTCTGGGACTACAGCAACTTCACTTTTGCAATAGGGTATGGAATAAGGGCTTTTCACCTTCACTATACCACTTGGAAGTGCATTCTAAGATGCTGTTCAAAGAGGCAAACATGCATTTTGGTACAGCACCCTGTCCTGTCTCATTCATGATGTGGAGGTGCTCGTGTTGTACTGGGGAGGGCAAAGTCAGAAGTCACACGACACCAGGTTACAGTCGAACAGATTTATTTGAAATCACAAGCTTTCAGAGTGCTGCTCCTTCATCAGGTGAAGATTTAAAACATGGGGTGGAGTATAAAAAGCAGGCACTTCACCTGACGAAGGAGCAGCACTACGAAAGCTTGCGATTTCAAATAACCCTGTTGGACCATAACCTGGTGTGGTGTGAATTCTGACTCTGTCTCATTCAAATGTACTTTACACACTTTGAGGAGGAGTTCTCAGATGGGTAAATGTGGCAGGTTTTTTCTTTTTACAAACAGCAATACGTTACAAATCATAACAAGATAAATAATTGATTGACCTCATCTCAGGAGGAGGAATGTTGGCCAGGACTATCCCTGCTCATCTTCAAATAATGCCTGACTCTGCAGCTGAACCACCAGGACAAGCAAACCCAAACATCTAACAATGCAGCACATCCTCTATACTGTAGATTTGATTTTGTTTTTAATCCAAGGTAGGGTTTAAATGCACCATCTTGTATCTCTTGGTGAATGTGCTTTGAGAGAATAAGTTCTTCTTGACATTGGTTCGACCCTGTACCTCTTTCTCCTCAGTGTTAACATAGAACAGTACAGTACAGTACAGGCCCTTCGGACCACGATGTTGTGCCAAACTTTTACCCTAAACCTAAGGTCTATCTAACATCCACCCCTACCTTATACTATCATCCATATGCCTATCTAATAGCCGCTTAAATGCCCCTAATGAGGCCGACTGCACTACCCTCTCCGGCAATGCATCCCATGCCCCGAGCACTCTCTGAGTAAAGAACCTACCTCTGACGTCTCCCCTATATCTACCTCCACTCACTTTAAAACAATGCCCCCTCGTAATAGCTACCTCCACCCTAGGAAAAAGTCTCTGGCTGTCCACTCTATCTATACCTCTGATCATTTTGTACATCTGTATCAAGTCACCTCTCATCCTTTGTCGTTCTAAAGAGAAAAGCTCTAGCTCTCTCAACCTTTCCTCGTAAGACCTTCCCTCCATTCCAGGCAACTTCCTGGTAAATCTTCTCTGCATCTTTTCCAATGCTTCCACATCTTTCCTGTAATGAGGCAACCAGAACTGGACACAATACTCCAGATGTGGCCGAACCAGGCTTTTGTATAGCTGGAGCATAATTTGGAGCATGTTGTTTAATTCTGAACTAATGCTTCAGGTTTACCCATCTTATCCTGCTTAACATCAAACTCGAAGATAATTCTGCACATCCTCCGCTGTCTTCTTTAAAGATTGATCTGCTGTCCTAGCTCAGTCCCCTGATACGGGGGGTTCGGTCTCAATTCTCCTCCGAACTATGGCCATGACTTGCAATCTCTCTTCCAAGTGTTCCCCCTGGATCCACAGCAACCCAAGAAGAATACTGGGCAGTTTTAACAGTGTTCACTAATGATGCCTACAGCATTTTCCCCAAAATAATTCAGATTATTTGATGCCTCAATCAAAAACAAATGAACTGCTTGTTGATTTGTTCTGGGGACAAGACACTGAGGCTGTGGTTATATATTTCTCATGTATTCATCAGTTAATCCAGTCCCATTATTAATTCTGACAAAGCATTCCTATTTAAAAACAAGACCTCATCTGTTCACTACACAGAAATAGCTGGATATATGAGTGCCTCAAGCATTTTCTGCTTTTCTTTCAGATTTTCAATAATTGCAAGGTTTTGGTTTTGCATTATTTTGATATTGCCAATGGTTCATTCAGATTAAAATACGTAAGGCTGTCAGCACTGCTGAGTTCAGGAGGATAAAAGGAAGATTTTCCAAGAAGAAAGGGAGATGTGAACTGTTGAACCTTCTTAAGATAATGTCATATTTACCTTCCAAGTGCACTTTCAACTGAAGACAATTAAATTAGGCTTCAGTCGCACTATCACATGCACCACCATAACCATTTTTAGCAAAACATCAATACCATTTCAGAAAGCCAGTCAATGGCCAATTAGGCCCTAAGTGGATAAGTAAATACATTTTGGCAGTGTTAAAACATTGCCTGAAGTGTTCTCATTTTCTTTGTCTTGGGATTTCTAGGTCAGAAGTCACACAACACCAGGTTATCGTCCAACAGGTTTATTTGAAATCACAACTTTCAAAGCGTTGCTCCTTCGTCAGGTCACCTGGCATCATGGGACTTCTGACTTTGTCCACCCCAGTCCAACGCCGGCATCTCCACATCTTGGGATTGCGAGATAGGGGAATTGAATAGGAGAACAGGATCTGTGCCCATCATGACCCTATGTTGGGTCAAGAATTTTGACATAAATAAAACAAGCCGAATATAACACCCACTCTGTAAATCAGAACTGCATCCTTGCAAAGGGACCAAGGTGATCTTCAGCAGTTGAGTAAGCCCATCTACAGGCAGACACATAGATACAATGCCAGCAGGAAAACTGTAGAACCACGCTCAACCACATGAACATGGGTTTAGGTTTAAACAAAGTGGCCTACCAGACACAACCGAACAAGACTTCCATTTGCTACAAAACATTACAACTATGCTGCATATTGTGAAGCACTGGGTGTAATTCAATAAGAATTCTAGCAAAGCAGGATGCAATAAAAAAAACGGATGTAATAACCATACTTAGAAAATGCCACATTAAAGAACAAATTTTGTGCTAACTCTAAACTGTTCCAAGAGCATCAGCTGAACTCAGGCTGACCAACGAGAAACCTAATTAGCATTTTGCTTCAATAAAGGGAAGGAATTAAGATACATTTAAAACAGTATCCATATCATACCTTTCTTTCCTGCTTCAATAACATAGTCAGTAGCAGATCTGATGACACTTCTTTCTGGCAAATAGCCAAAATCTGGAGGCACTGTAAAAAAAACATTGATCTCATTAAGTAAGGAGTCACATATGCTCATTCCACAAACAATGGCCTCCCTGTGTTACTGGCCAGCGGATCACTCTCACATTTCAAACAGCATGAAACACCATTCAAACAATCTGAAGCGCTGAGCAATTAAAAAAATCAAAACCACTGAGAAAGCTGCTGGACACAACACAGGACTCCACGCAGAACTGACAGTATGATTTCTTTTTCTTAAAAAAAAACCCAGTTGTAATTAGATGGCAGATACATGGATAAAAGAAGATACATTGGAAACACATTTCAAAGTCGATGCTAGCTGACAAGTAAAACCCTGCTGTCATCTTCAGTTTCAATCATCTGCTTTCCAAACTCTAGCAAAATGTACGATTCAGTCTCCTGGCAACGGGGTAAGTAGTCTCAGCATCCTCGTAGCTTAATCACTTGAAAAATGTGGCATCTGCAGATACACAGCGTGTATGTTGTTACAGCGGGTCACAGTCAAAGGAGAAGCTAAGTTTGCTGGGGAAGGTGGAGACACAGGGTGGTTGTTAACGGTGGAAGGGAGAGGAGAGGCAAGAAGTGACTATTTTCGATGAATAAAGCCCACAACTCTTTTATAAACTGTTTAGGGGAGTATCACACCATGAAGAAAACACATAACATCCACATTATTCTTTTTTGTTTTCACAGGATGATCACATCAGGTCTCCCAGCGAGAGATCTCACTGATTTGACATTAGTTAGGAGATTGGGCCACGGACAGCTTGAAATGAAATAACGCAGTTCAAAATTCCTGCAAGTCTTTCTTTCTGATCCAGATCCAGGTGGTGTCAAAATAGGCACCAAAAAGACTGGATGGAAGTTGAGAGTTTTTTTTGCTATTGTTGCTGAGATTTGAGAGTTAAAGAAAAGTAACCCTTCGACATGCATTTCTCATATTCATATGACTTTTCAGCTGCTAAAAGACATTCTGATGAATTGTTGTCTTCAAGTTTCTCTCTTCTCATTAAATTCTTGGCTTTCATCCTGCACACCCATCTCCTATACTGCACTCCATTCCAGGATTTCCCAATTAAACAGCAAAGCAGGAACATGAGCTCATCCACAGATCTTTATTGGAGACATTGTTGAATCAGTTACAGTGATAAGGGTTAACTCAACAAATTTAGCCCCTCTCCACACCTTCCCCTTCCCATTTTGGCAAGACAATAGAGGTTAGTAGTTCAATTTGTTGGGGACTACAAGAATGAACACAATGTTGTAACACTGTTCTTGAGCAAGTTCAGAAATAAATATAAACTTAATTATTTGTTAATGTCAGTTCTTAGCCAATTGTGCTCACTATTGAGACATTAAAGGATGTACAAGTGTAGATGGAATGATTTGTTCTCCATTTTCACTCCATTGTTGCTTGGTCACTTTTCAACATCCCCTCTAAAAGGTACAGCAAGGTGAGGAGTTCACTCTTTGCAGAATCATGGAACACACTCACTCAAAGGCAAAAGTAGTGTAAGGTGTTACAAAATCAGAATGAGCTAACACAAGATTGATAATTAATCCTTGTATCATTAATTGTTCATTAAGGCAACTAACATATTCTAATTAAATGGGACCACAGAAAAGTCTAGTAGCCGACTACAGGAGCTCTCAGAGGTGCCTTGTTTCAGGCAAGCTGTTAAAAAAAAACCCTTCTCTCCTCGCAGATGACAATAAAAATAATTTTACAGGTTTATTTCAAGAGGGCTGCTGTGGTCATAGGGTACACGCTCTGTCTCCAATGACTTGACCCTAGTGCGGTCCAACTCTCTATTGTTGTAAAACACCCTCTGGTGCCCACCACCGAGGAGAAATGAAGTAAAATGGCAGCAATGACTAATCTCAAAAACAAGGCTCAAAGTAAACGGACAGAAATCAGTTATCTATCACGGAGTTCACCGTATTGTTTCTACACGCTCAGGTGCAGCTTATGATAAATGTCTCACGTGTGTGCGCGCACGCCTCTGAGCATCTGGTTATTGCCAGATGTTGCTGGAGCTGCTAGATATGGGCTTAAACCAAATAAGGCACCTTTCTTCAAGGACACTCCCAAAAGTTTTCTCTCAACAAAACCCTCTCAAAGTTTTGTGTTTCTACCTCAAATGATCATCAAAGATTTTGACCGCATACTGTATCCTGGAGACACAAGTTGCTTTATATATTGAAGAACCACATCCACAGAGGAAACTAAATTTGTAGAATTCATCTTACGATGGGATGGAGATAATTCCCAACTACGCTTTGAAGCACCTTGGTAAGTGTCTGCCTCCTTACGTCTACAATCTCCTCTGGCCCTCCACGATCTCTGCACTCCTGCAATTCTCCTCGTATTACTAACCTGATGTTCGACTCTGACTGGATGACATGTTGGTCAGGTGTAGATGTCCTAAAGCATAGGCAGCATTCGACTGGAGTCCAATCACACCAGAAAAACTAATTGTCTGTGATAAAGCAAAAATACAACAGGCGGATAAATAAACAAGCAACACAAAAGAAGTGTAATGTCCAAAATGGTTTAATGTATGCAGGTTTTTCAACAATACCTTTGCAGAGTTCAAATGAAAATACATTTTTTACTCCTCCTTTAGCTTCCATCTCTGTATTTCACATTTAGTGGTAAAGTTGCAACTTATTCATTACTAACATTACTAATGCTATAGAGAGGCACAGCATTCAGGAACCACAAGTTACATATCTGCAAACATCCTAACGAATGAAAGAGAAGGATGTGAGGTGTGTTGAGAGATTAGCTCCATGCTAACATAACAATACCATGCTCCAAAGTGATCACATTAAATAACTGTTATACATACAGCTTCGATGAAATGGATATCAATTCAAATAAGTTGATGCAAGATAGTATTTGATATCAAAGGCATTTTGCACAATACAGAGCCTACTCTCATCCCTTTCAGCTTATCTTTATTTGTTTGTTTAGATTTTAACAAAATAAGAAGTGGGCTCTTCATACAGATGACCACAAGTTTCCAGAGGTCAAAACCTGATCTTTTACATTCAGGATTATGCTAACATCATTGTTGGGTACATATAAGCAGTTTTGCTGTTCTTGTGTAACAGAAATTTCTCACTGTTCTACTCGGGAACAGATTAGACTCAATTAAACCACCAGTTCAGACTGAAATTTGCCACATAGATAACTAATTCATGTTATCAGCTGAAATATAAACCAAATTCATTTGAATTTCTGTAACAGAAAATTGAACATAATGGACTCTGCAAATTTAAATGTTTATTTTATTTTTGAGAGAAGTTAAATATATGGTTGGTTGATAAATACATTGGTGATCTTCCCTCCACTGCATATGATTTAGTTTTGTATTGTCTTACTGTTTGTTGACATATTTCAGAACGTCCATTTCTCAGATCAGATCTGAGAACGTGACATATCATATACACAATAAGCTTGATTGCTTATTTTGGTGGCAGGGTACAAGATTAAGATATTGAGCTTGATGATCAGCTATGATCACTGTAGAGAAGGTTTGAGGCCTCAGGCTCCTGTCTTCCATGTTGCTATGTTAAATGCATATCAACATTAACCCAAATGGAACTAAGCACAAATTATTCAACTACTTGCTAAATTAATTTGTGCTACTGAGTACTAAATTGCCATTTTGTACAATAAAGTGGAACTTATATTAAGCTGGTAAAAGAAACTGGTGAATAATCTCACCAAATTACTTCACTAATTTCACTCTGAATTTTGACTGCACTCTCTCATCACTAAAATCTTCTTCAGTAATAATCCATTTATCTATAAGTTCAAATCATCTTCTCAGGATCCACTGTACACTCAGTCACGTCTATAGTCACTTGGCCAACTAAAGAACAGCAATCCCTATTCAGCTCAACACTGCACATGGCTTTCAACTTGGAAAGCAATCTATCGACTCCTATATATTGAGCTTCTTGTTGGTAAACAGTACCATGTTAAACACATCATCAGTTGGCACCAGTTCACTCTCAAAACCTTGTTTAAGAAGTTAAGGCTGTGTATTGCTTTTAAAACAGTAACATCACTGAAATTAGTCACTGAATGTTATAAAGGGAGGTGGCAGTGTAGTGGTAATGTTTTTCACTGGTAATCCAGAGGACCCATACTGATGGGCAGCACAAAGGCTCAGTGGTTAGCACTGCTGCCTCACAGCGCCAGGGACCTGGGTTCAATTCCAGCCTCGGATGACTGTCTGTGTGGAGTTTGCACATTCTCCCTGTGTCTGCGTGGGTTTCCTCTGGGTGCTCCAGTTTCCTCCCACAATCCAAAGATGTGCAGGTTAGGTGGACTGGCCATGCTAAATTGTCCCGGAGTGTCCAAGCATGTACAGGCTAGGTGGGTTACCCATGGTAAATGTGCAGTTATGGGGATAGGGTGGGATGTTCTTTGGCAGTTTGGTGCAGACTCAATTTCCGTACTGTAGGGATTCTATGATGCTTTAGAGATACCGGGTCAAATCCCACCATGGCAGGTGGTGGGATTTGAATTCAATTAGTAAATCTGAAATTAAAAGCTAATCTTAGTAATGTCGACCATAAGACCATTTTTGGCTTATGAATGCCCTTGAATGCAGTCCTTACCTGGTCTGGCTTACATGTGGTTCAAGAACCATGTGTTTGACTCTAAAATGCTCTCTGAAATGGTCTAGCAAATCAAGAGCAATTAGGGCCAAATTGTGGGCTTGCCAACGATGCCCATAGCCCATGAATGGAAAAAGAATTAAAAGACGTCAGTGGAGAATTTTGTGATAGAAAATCAACTAAAAGGTGAACTGTTCTGTTATCAGCTGAAGTCGCTAGAAAATACAGAACAACGGAATCCAAATACATCTATAAAACCATGCTTGTAGCTTCACATCTTGTTGACCTCCTATTTTCTATGAAAACTCCCATGGATAATCAAGAACAAAATCATCCTGGTTACAGTGTGTTGGCTTTAGAACAGAGTAAATTTAGCAAGGGTTAAATAAGATTCTGCACACAGCAATATTTGAAAGGCGAAATGGTTAACGAGACATTCGTATTGCTGGGTGTGAGCTTTCCTTGTAACCCAGCCTCAACAGTAGATTCATATTGTTAATCAGTATTAACAAAGCAATGCAAAACTTAATGCATTAGCAAGAAACTGCTCCAAGACCCAGCATGTTATACTTGAGTATCAGCAGAAGAAATAAATTTAGCTTGCTAGTACACCGAACAGTAAGTTACTACAGTGACACAACCTCTCGTGAAGTATTACGTTCACAGAGAAATAGTACCATAACAAATCTGCCCAGTGCAGCTTGAGAGTGATGAAAGGGAATTAAAAGATAAGCATTAACTCTGACTCAGGGATAACTTACTCGTCAGACTGTTTGATATTGACTTTAGACATTAGCAGGCATTTGAAACTTACCTGAGTCATTGCTCTTATAACCTCATTCATCTTCGATTGAAATTGGGATGACTGGATTGATTCTGATTTCAACTACACAAAGTCAAGAGCAGATGGTTAGATGGTGTTCAATTCAGTCGAACAATTGAGATTTTTAAAAGAAAAACCGAAAGAACTGCGGATGCTGTAAAACAGGAACAAAAACAGAAGTTGCTGGAAAAGCTCAGCAGGCCTGGCAGTATCAGTGAAGAAAAAAAAAATCAGAGTTAACGTTTCAGATCTGGTGACCCTTCCTCAGAACTGAAACGTTAACTCTGATTTTTTTCTTCACAGATGCTGCCAGACCTGCTGAGCTTTTCCAGCAACTTCTGTTTTTGTTCGAGATTTTCAACAGGTTGTTAAATGAATATCAGCTCTTTGCATTCTGTTGCATTTCACAAACTAGATCTGCTAATTTTCAACAAAATTTCACATGTAGCTTTATGTTCAAAAAGGTATTTTTGCTTACTGTGTTCAAATCCAAAAATCAATGAACCAGCCACTAAAATCTGACCCTGTACAAACAGATCATGCCAGTCAAAATGGGTACTGTAAAAAATATGGACCTTTAAGTGACTGCACCACATTTCAATAAACATTCTTTTGTACTGAAGATGCAGCTTTACAAAATCTGCCACAAATCAATCTGACCTGCTCTTTCTTTTTCCATGATATTTCTGTCTGAAAGTGTTCCTGACACTCTAAATCCATATTTATTAAAATATAACGAATCTACATTGATGAAAATTGAATCAGTCAGCTGACATTAAATTAATTCTACAATAATAAGGAAGGAAAGAGTTTATATGAATGCTAGCCATTCTTCAAATGTGAGACTGCTATATCCATCACACATTCCTGTGTTTACACCTATCAAGTGCTGTATCCAAACTGTTCAAATTTCTCCTCCACTAGCACTAACATAAAGTCACTGAATTAAAAATAAGATGGCAAATGTGAAGGAGGTAAACCATTTGTGAAATGGTTTCAATGTTAAATTTCTGTATACACCCTCTCGTGATCTGACCAAACTCCATATGAAGGTTGCTCTTTAGTACACTTTAAAGATCCCTCAAACACAACTAAAAGTTTATTGGAAACATGATTTCACGCCACATCATCAATAAATAAATACTCTGTATTTACTTTCGATAAACTAGTAGAACGGTTTTATTTAATTATTTCTCTAGGCTTCTGAATTGTCAGTTTCAAACAATTTTTGCACTAGTAAACAATTTCAGATAAAGCATACCTGTATCAGGGAACTTTCAGATCCCACCAAAGCAACAAGACCATTTACTGCAGCTAATCGATGCATTGTGGGGCAACCCTTTGAGAGACATAAGGAAATGAGAAGGATAAGCTAAAATGTCTTGATAGTTCTCATAGAGGCATACAGCGCAACAAAGTTATCAGTCTAGAAAAATAACTGGCTTCCAAACATAATGGGTAGGACATCTGTAAGTACTGTACTTAAATTGGGCATTATAGGCTTTAACTTGTACAAGTTATCATGTTATCACTACATTAACAACATCAGATAATGTGCTCTGTCAAACACTCTCTATGGAAGCACTTATACAAAAAGAAAGCATCTGTGTTGCATTTAAAGACAGAGTTTGTCTAAGAGAGGTCAGCAAATCATTTTAGATCAGATATGCTCTAGTTTTTAACAGCAGTTATTTCTAGATCATTGGAAGAGATAAAATTACATAAACTAATAGTAAGTCAGTAGAATACGCTAATTAAAATCCTTTATTCAATTGTCATCAGTAGCTCTGATAATATTTTGAACATTATGAGAAATAAACCAGCACATCTTGAGCAATGCCATGGAAGATCCTGGCAATAAAAAGACAACATATACTGTGCCAAAACATGCTTTCTTCAAAACTTTTGTGTACATGCCCTACAATCCTGATTGCACACTAAAGGTTTACGAAAATGTTTGCAGTTTTATTGAAACTCAGCCCAGTAGGAGGAACTGAAATATAGCCAGCAAATACACTAAAGGAAAGTTGGGTGTTTTAATCAATTAATAGGCAGTTTCTCACTTTTTAAAATGTTACACTTAATATGGCAGATGAAGATAAATGCTCAGATTAGCTGATTTCTTCACTGTACAATCCTTTTCCATTGACTAAATTATTCCTTCCAATATTCAAACCCCTCTTTCCCAACTGCCAAACATGCACCACAAGACTCTTGCATTCCCAACAATTTTCCCATTCGCACTTACTAAACACCAGCTGGGGCCCAACTCATGTTTTACAAAGGTTTAGCAGAACTTCCTTTGCTTTTGTGCACTGAATGCTTTTGTTTATAAGGCTAAGGATCCTGAAATTATTTATAAAACAACTTTCTCAACATTGTTTGCTACCAAAGATTTGTCTAACTAATAGAGTTGATACGCGGGAGCCAGGAGATGTCACACACTTGAACTTTCAGAAGACTTTCAATAAGGACCCGCGTAAGAGATTAGTGCGTAAAACTGAAGTGCATGGGATTGGGTACAGTACAGTCATGAGTAGAGAGCTGGTTGGCACACAGGAAATAAAGATGAGGAGTAAGCAGGTCTTTTTCTAAGTTGCAGCCAGTGACTAGTGGGGTACAGCAGGGATCAGTGCTTGGACCCCAGCTATTCACAATATACATTAATGATTTAGATTAGGAAACTAAATGCAATATCTTCAAGTTTGCAGATGACCCAAAGCCGGGAGGGAGGGTGAGCTGTGAGGAGGTTACAGAGATACTTCAGTGTGATTTGGACAAGTTGTGTTTTCAGGGCAAATGCATGGCAAACGAAGCATCAAGTGAATAAATGTGAAGTTTTCCACTTTGGTAGCAAAAATACGAAGGCAGATTATGTGAATGGCAATAGAATGGTAAAGAAGGAGGTGCAATGAGACCTGGGTGTCCTCGTACGCCAGTTGCTGAGAGTAAGCATTAAAGGTAAGGCCAGTGGTGAAGAAAGCAAATGGTATGTTGGCTTTCACAACAAGAGGGTTCAAGTACAAGAGCAAGGGTGACTGTTACAACTGTACAGGGCCTTGATGAGGCCACATCTGGAGCATTGTGTGCAGTTTTGGTTTCCTTGTCTGAGAAAGGATGTTCTAGCTGTTGATGGAGTGCAACCAGGATTTACCAGATTGATTCCTGGGATGGTAAAACTGACGTATGAAGAGAGACTGGATTGCTTAGGACTATATTCACTGGAATTGAGAAGAATGAGGGGGAAATCACATAGAAAGCTATAAAATTCTAATAGGACTAGACAGAATAAACACAGGAAAGATTTTCCTGGTGACTGGAGGGTCCAGAAACAGTCCATATAGGACTGAGATAAGGAGAAATTTCTTCAAGCAGAGAGTGATGAACCTGTGGAATTTACTATCGCAGAAAAGTGGCTGAGGACACAACACTGAATGTTCTCAAAAAGGAGTAAGAAAGAGTTATTGGGGCTGAAGGGATCAAAGGCTAGAGGGAAAAGTGAGAACAGGAGTTGTATGTTTGGCCATGATCAAATTGAATGGCAGTGCAGACTTGAAGCGCTCAATGGCCTACTCCTGTTCCTGAGTACTCCTCAGATATTGTTGTTCCTGCATCTCCTTTAAAATCGTGCCATTGACTTCACATCATCTCTCCACACTCTTCCAACTAACATACATAATTGCATCTATAATACTATCCTCCCAACTGTTGGCTATTGTTCAATTTCTTTTGATCTGGAAAATATTGGAAATTTGATAATGGAGATAAAACTAGCATCAAATCACTCAACTGCAGATCAATATTATCCACATCAACCCACCTCAGCTAGAAGTATCTTGAGCCAAGCAGGAAGTAGCCGGTTACTGAGGTCTTCGGCCTTACCATGTCCACAGACAGCCAAGCCATGAACTATGTTTCCCAGAGCCATAGCAAAACCTGCAGTCTGAGATTTAAAGACAATTTAGAAAATTAATTTTCAAAGTAGCACAACCAAGCACCAGTGCACATGACTTGTTCATGACTTGGCCCAGATAAGGAAATATGAGAAAGATTTCATAAGTCTGCAGAACCACAAGCTTTCAGTACCATTATCTTCTGTTCTGCGTTTGATTCCTACACTTCCATAAGCTTGGGAGTAATCCACCTTGCTGATTTGACATTGCTACTGGTTAACTGAACATACATATAATAAACATACATCAACAAAGACGATTCAAACTTCAATGTAGCAATTTTAATGCATACTGAAAAGGAAAAAGGCAAAGGTATCTTAGTCCTGCTGGACCATAGCGCTGTTCTCCCATGACAGAGACAAATGGTGATGGTCACCATGCCTCAGGTGAGGAGAGGGGTTGGGATGATGGAACCTTCATGGTAACCTCAACTAGTGTGAGAATTGAACCCATGCTGTTGGTGTCAGTCTAGTTCGTAAACCAGCCAACGGAAATTTAAATCTTGGCAAATTTTGTATTTGAAGGACAGAATCGCAAGCATTTTTCGAATATTGGTGAGGCTTGAATTTGGATTAGTCTGGTAAAGTTAGTTCCACGTCCCAATATATTTAGAAAGCTCTTTATTTTATTTACTGTATGAAAAGCATTAAGAATCAGAGTTGTATCACTATTCACCGCTCAAAGTCATCTGACCAAGCCAAGTGGATGATAGTGATTATTGCTACAATGTCAATCTACACAACATATTGTTTGCACTGTCTGGCCTGCACATCTTCAGGTATTGATAACAGTTCAGTGTTAAATATATTCACTGCCACAACAAGTTGAATCTTTTTCTTTTGTGGGAAATAACTTCTGGAAGAAAACTGAAAATGATCTTATCTAGTTTTACAACATCAACAAGTAAACCGTGAACAGGATTTATCAGACAAGAGCAGATAACCCAAACTTAACTTTTACTTTCTGAAGAAGGGAACTCAAAACATGAACGCTGTTTCTCTCGCAACACCTGCTGAGTTTCTCCAGCAATTTATGTTTATGCTTCAGATTTACAGCACCCACAGTTCTTTGTATTATTTAATTTTTACTCCGGTCCTCATGTCTTCAGTGTTATTCCACTGGGGTAGGGTGCTGGCAAACAAGCCCGGCTTTTCCTGGACCAAAAAAAGACCCCAAAGAACTTCAGATGCTGGAAACGAGAAACAAAAACAGAAACTACTGGAAAAACTCAGCAGGTCAGTGCAGCATTTGTGGAGAGAAAGTAGAGTTGCTATTTTGGGTCCGGTGACCCTTTCTCAGAACATGATCCCTGGATTTGTCACAGAAGTTTGCAAAATTCCCCAGTTTACCTGTCTTTCAGCCCCAAGTAAACAGAAAGCGTAGATCAGGTCTGTGCACTTAACGAGAACTGCTATTTATTACAAATAAACAGATTCCAGCTGCAGCTAAACAATAATGAACTATCGAAACAGGTAAAACTGGAATCCCCTTTATAAACCCCAATTACACATATAGACAGACGCACAAACAAGGAAGGATGTCATTGGTGAGAGCAAGACGGGGAAGGAAGTTCGTTGCTCCCAGGGTTCCTTTTGCCTTGTCAGGGCTTGCTGCTCCCCAGTCTTCCTTCTTTCACTCGTTTACAAGAATGACTGGCTCACACTTCTAAAATCAAACTCAAAGACATACAATTGTGCAAAGTTGGGTGACAGGCCGCAATAAGTAAAGACACTTATTTAACGAGCCAGTGACAGCATGACAGGCTGAATGGCCTCTTTGTGCACCTTACACTTCTGTGATTCTTGATAAAGTCTCTGACCGGTTGTTAAAAGCCACAAGTTACACCAACTGGGAAATAAACCAGCTTTCTTCAGGCTAAGCCTGGTTTTTGTTTAAACTGCAGAGAAAAAATCAGTTCCCTCCTTTCTGGAGATCAAATGGCTTCTGACCAATGCTTCACTCCCACAAGCTGCTCAGCTTCCTGGAGCCAATCACATAGTTGGCAAGCAAAAGGCCTTTGTCACGGACAATGGTCATCAGTCCATAGACCAGTCAGCAAACTCTCTTCATACACGTCCGCAACCCCCAAAACACTCCCAGCTCCAGCCTGTCGATTTTAACTCCCCCCACAGCCTGAATAAATAGCAGTGAAACAGCACTTACAATAAGTGTCAAATAAATTGACTAGAAGAAAGTCTGTCCACAAACATGTCTTTTTTCAATAAACTGTCCTTTACCCATTTCAGCCCAAAATCACAACTCCAGAAAATTAAAACTTAATGAATTTAAATGTGTTTCTGCAATCATTTTACCAGGCCAACAAACAGCATCTGATAATAGTTCAAATTATTGAGGGTCTTAATGATGCCCTGTTGTACAGCTAAGCTATAAAGGCCGGGGAAATCCCATCCTGTGTTGCAAGAAGTAATCATGGCAAGGATGGGAATGATGGTGTCGTAATTGACAATATCATTCAGCTAGGGTACAGGGGGAGGGAGGTCAGTGTTCTTTCTCCTGATTATTATGGCTTCTGGTGGATAGTAATAGCAGCATTCAGTGTGATTGCCTAGGACTGTCCATGGAAAGTCGTCACTTAGCTGGATACCAAAGGGAAGTCAAAGCTTACAGTCATACAGAATTACAGCATGGAAACAGACCCTACAATCCAACTAGTCCATGCTGACCAGGTTTCCTAAACTGAACCAGTCCCATTTGCCCCATATCCCTCTAAATCTTTCCTATTCATGTACCTGCCCAAATGTCTTTTACATTTTGTAACTGTATTTACCTCTACCACTTCCTCTGGCAGCTCATTTCTTATACACACTGTGTGAATAAGTTGCCCCTCGAGTCCCTTTTAAATCTTTCCCCCTGCACCTTCAATCTATGCCCTTCAGTTTTGGACTCCCCTACCCTGGGGAAAAGGTTGTTCACCTTATCTACGCCTCTCATGATCTTATAAACCTCTATAAGGCCCCCCTCAGCCTCCTATGCTCCAGGGGAAAAACTGTCCCAGCCGATCCAGATCTCCTTATAACCCAAACCTCCACTCCCGGCATTGTAAACCTTTTCTGCATCTTTTCTAGTTTAGAAACATCGTTCCTATAGCAGGGCAACCAGAATTGTAGGCAGTCCTCCAAATCTGGCCTTACCCAATGTCTTGTACAGTGCAACATGAAGAAAAGAAAGAGCTTTCATTTTTATACTGTTCAAATAATCCTCTGCATTTCTCAAATTTTCATAATTATGGATTACTTTATTAATATTGTAGCAGTTAACTCAGCATAGCAAATCTCAGGAGAAGAGGTGAACTCATTAATTTTTGATACGATTGCTTTGGACCCAAACGTTGGAAAGGACATCTGCCTTTTCCCCAACATCTGACCTGACCCAAACATGTTTAGCATTTCACTGCAAAACACGGCATCACCATCAAGGAAGCAAAGGGCACAGAGTGTGAACCTAGACCGGAAGTTCAAGTCTTACAATCATGATTCTGAATCAAAAGCAAAAGCTGGATTAGCTGTATGGAGAAACCTGTTGACAGATGAACTTTAAGACACATCAATTTTATGCCACTTCATAAATTAACAGATTTGATTTCTGTGAGAATAGACAAGACTTGAATTGAATTCTGCAATGCCTGTCAAGCTTCCAGATTCCTTTGACCAGTTTTCCCTCTAAAAGCATTTGGAAGAAATAAAAAAATAGTTGCCTTAAGTGCTGGGTTTAAAAGAAGAAAGCCCACAGGTTACATGCAGATTTTGCAGAATACAATTTTTAGATAGACAAAGCTATTCTGAACCAGAACAATCAGTCAATGGAAGAATAGTTTCATGCCAGGAACTAACAACAAACATTCATATCTCAGGCTGACGGGACATTCTTCCAATTGAACTTTGGAAGCTAATTTACAAGAAGACATAATGTACTTTGACTAGCAGCCCCTCTGATGAACTCCTTGACCAAGGGAAGGGTTCAGAAACAAAGCTCCCGTTTCTTCTGAAGAGAAAAATGTGGCAAACAAAGCATCAAAAATCAGCAACTCAGGCTTAGGGATGTACAAGTTTTACCCACTTTCAAATCAACCTGCTCAGCAATGTGGCTCAGCGGCTAGCACTGCTGCCTCACAGTGCCAGGGACCTAGGTTCAATTCCTGCCTTGGGTTATTATCCGTGCGGAGTTTGCACGTTCTCCCTGTGTCTGTATGGGTTCCTCTGGGTACTCTGGGTTTCCTCCCACAGTCTAAAGATGTGCAGGATAGGTGGATTGGTCATGCTAAATTGCCCATAGTGTCCAAGGATATACAGGCTTGATGGGTTAGCCATGGGAAATGCAGGGCTATGGCGACAGGGTGGGGAGTGGCTTTGGTGGAATGCTCGTTTTTTTGTTATTCGTGGGATTATTATTCATTATTTATTATTATTTGTGGGATGTGGGCATCGCTGGCTGGCCAGCATTTCTTGCCATCCCTAGTTGCCCTTGGGAAGGTGGTGGTGAGCTGCCTTCTTGAACCGCTGCAGTCCTCCTGCTGTGGGTTGACCCACAATGCCATTAGGGAGGGAATTCCAGGGTTTTGACCCAGCGACAGTGAAGGAACGGTGATATATTTCCCAGTCAGGATGGTGAGTGACTTGGAGGGGAACTTGGAAGTGGTGGTGTTCCCATATACCTGCTGTTCCCATATACCTGCTGCTCTTGTCTTTCGAAATGGAGGTGGTTGTGGGTTTGGAAGGTGCTGTCTGAGGATCTTTGGTGAATTTCTGCAGTGCATCGTGTAGATGGTACACACTGCTGCTACTGAGCGTCGGTGGTGGAGGGAGTGGATGCTTGTGGATGTAGTGCCAATCAAGCGGGCTGCTTTGTCCTGGATGGTGTCAAGCTTCCTGAGTTTTGCCGGGGCTGCACTCATCCAGGCAAGTGGGGAGTATTCCATCACACTCCGGACTTGTGTCTTGTAGGTGGTGGACAGGCTTTGAGGAGTCAGGAGGTGAGTTACGCGCCGCAGTATTCCTAGCTTCTGGCCTGTAGGTCCTGCTCTTCAAAGAGTTGGTGTAGACTCAATGGGCTGAATGGCATCTCTCTGCACTGTACAGATCCTAGGATTTGCACTGAAACTATCACTAGTAGAAGAAATTCTGGTGTTGTAACAGGTCTTACTTTCAGCAATGTAAGACAGACTCAGTCGACTGAATGGCTTCTTCCCACACTGTAGGGATTCTAGATCCCGAAATGCTGTGACTGACCTCCGGAGCAGGTGGGACCTGAACCCGGGCCACCTGGCTCAAAGTTAGGGACATTACCACTGCCCCACAATTTTTAAACAGGCTCAAAAATGCTGGAGGAGTGGCTAGAAGGTGTCATGTCTAAGTCAGTTAAGGTGATACACAAATGTGGGGCTGCCTGGCACATCCATTATTTTGATCAAACGTATATCTGCACTGACTGAGCTAAAGAAATACAATTGCTGCTCTGCATACTTACTTGCTGTGAAAGAAAACAATTTAACAGTTCACATTAAGCCTCATTTCATGATGTTTTTTGGTCATTGTGCTAATGTAGCAATGAAGGGAAGACTCAGAGAACAACATGAACGTTTGGTTCAAGCTATCAATGGTGGCTCTTTGCTCCCGATCCCAATTTGTGCGATCAGTTGATTGGAGATGTGAAGCAGTATTAGTTGGCTCCCACAGTCGTGAGAACTTCACATCACTTAAAGGAGTAAATTCTTTTATTCACTCATGGGAAACTGGGTATCATTGGCTAGGACAGTATTTATTGCCCAAAGGGTAGTTAAGAGTCAACCACATTGCTGTGGGACTGGAGTTACTGTGAACAATCCTTGCCCCGTCCAGCCTATCTGTTCAAATCTGAAGTGATGCACTTGGGCAGGGTGAACAAGGCAAGGGAATACATGATGAACAGTAGGACCCTGGGAAGCAAGGATCAGAGGGACCTTGACGTGCATGTACACTGGTCCCTTAAGGTATCAGGTGGATAAAGTGGTTAAGAAGGCTACAGGATTCTTGCCTTTATTAGTCGAGGCAGAGAGTTTAAAAGCAGAGATGTTATACTGAAACTGTATAAAAAGTTTGCTCGGCCAAACAGTGATAGTAATGTGTGCAGCTCTGGAAGCCACATTATTAGGAGGGTTGTGATTGCAGTGAATAGGATTTAAAGAAGATTTACCAGGATGCTGCCTGGACTGGGGAGTTTTAGCTTTCAAGAGAGATTGGACAAACTGGGGTTGAGGCACTGGTGAGACCAGTAATGATCGAATGAAATGATGGAACAGGCTCGAGGGGCTGAATGGCCTACTCCTGCTCCTAGTTTTTACATTCTTATGCTATGGGCTAGGTAGCTACAAGCATCAGAGATAAAATACATGACAGTTACATTTTCAGTTTTATCTGCTTTTCTCCCCTCCTCTTCTGAAGACACTGGCCCTAAAATTCAATTGGGGGTTGGAATCATCTGACCTCTGACTGGAGTTACAACAGGAGACTAACTGAGCCCAGTTATGAAAGGTTTGACAACTGCTCTTTTAAATTGCATTTCTTAACTGGCAGCATTTGAACGCAGACTGATCACTGACCTGTTGGCTCTGTTCTGTCAGACTCTGCAACTTGTTCATGATCTCTTCAGCCTCATTAGCTTGTATGATCCCAGCACTGAAAGCAGAAACACTCACACATGCCACTGAATAAGCCAATACCTGAAAGAGATGACGTTCATGAACTTCCTTTCACAATTAATTGTCTTACAGCACACAGACAATTGAAAATGACAATTAAAATTCATAAATAATGTACAGCCCAAGGAACTGCAAGGCCAGCTATTTTTTTTTTAGCTTAAATTAATTGAGAAAATGCCTCTATCCCCTGATTTCCCCGTAATTACTGTGACCAGGAAATTGGGTGGAAAGACAAAGAGTTAACATTTCGACTTCGATAATAATTTCTTCGGAACTGAAAAGCGTCGGACAATGATAGTTTTGATCTGATTGACAAAGGAGAAACAGAAGCAAGCGGAACAGATGGTGAGGGTGCCCACAACAAAGGACAAAGGGAGTGGAGGGACAGAATAGGTGTTAATAGTAGGTGTGAAAAGTAGAAACTATCTCTGTTGAGAACAAACCCATGCAAACACGATATAAGGGTGGAGGAAGGTGGTGTTATCAAAATGGAGGCATATCCATGGTCTGAAGTTGTTAAACTCAATATTCAGTCCTGTAAGGCTGTTCAAGTGCCTAAGTGGAAAATGAACTGCCTTTCTTTCAGCTTGGGTTAGTTTTCAGTGGAGCACTGCAGCAATAGAAATATTCTCACAAGAACAAAATGATTGAGGATAAATGGAAGACAAATTGGAAGCATCCCTGTGGAAAGAGGTATTGCTGCAACAGATGCAATGGGGACAGTGAAATTGGGAAAATGGACAGAAATATTTCCAGGAAATGGTATGTGAGGATGTATAGTCATGGCAACTGTGGGGGCCAGAAAGAGAAACAGAGAAGTCAAGGAAGGGATGGGATGGGAAAAGTCAAAATGAACCATAGTATCATAGAATCATAGAATCCCTACAGTGCAGAAAGAGGCCATTCAGCCCATTGAGTCACTGACCCTCCAAACAGCATCTCACACATAACCAACCCTCTATCCTATCCGTGTAACCCCGCATTTGCCATGGCTAACCCACCTACCCTGCACATCCCTGGACATTATGGGCAATTTAGCATGGCCAATCCACCTAACCTGCACATCTTTGGACGTGCAACCAGGTGAATGTGAGAGAAGCACGAAAACTGGAAGCAAAATTGATTAATTGTTCAAATTTCGGGTGAGAGCAGGAAGCAGCATTGATAACATCACTGATGTACCAGTGAAAGGGTTGTGGGCGGGGGTCAGAGTAGGACTGGAACAAGGAATGTTCTACATTCCCCATTATGAAACAGACATAACTGGGGCCCATGCAGGTACCCATGGCCACACCTCTTATTTGTGGAAATCAAGACAAGTCAAAAAACAAATTGGTAAATATGAGTTCTTGTCTTGGAAATTCAAAATAATCTTTCCAACTCTGGAGATCTGCCTGGGCACGTTGAAAACCCATTGGAAGACAGCAAGCTCCTCCCAACCCCCATCCATTGTTTTCCTAGCTACTTGAATGCCCAAAATCCAGCCATCAGCTGCAGACTAATTGACTACCCTCAAAGCCACCTTGAAGTTGAAGAAAATGTGAGAAAAATCTTTGGTGACAAGGGTAGAAATTAAAAACCCGATGCAGGGTTCACAACCTTTGGCCTTATTAGAGCCTCCACTGAGCACACACCAATTCCTGGCTGAATACACGTCACTCTCAGCCTTCAAGAACTCTGCTGCAGACTTAGAAAAGCACAGAATTATAAAGTTTACCTCCCCGATATACCTTCTTGATGGCAAAGGGGAAAATTGGTTTCTGGTAAAAAAAAAAGATGGAAAATCCCTTCTATCCAGGGCCAGATCAGGATTGTGGGCATGTTATGGCTCATTAGCAGCACTGTGGCTCAGTGGTTAGCACTCCTGCCTCACAGCGTCAGGGGCTCCGGTTCAATTCCACCCTCGGGCAACTAATCTCGATGGAGTTTGCACATGTTCTCTGTTTCTGCGCCAGTTTCCTCCAGGTGCTCCAATTTCCTCCCACAGTCCAAAGATGTACAGCTTAGGTGGACTGGCAATGCTAATTTGCCCATAGTGTCCATGGATATACAGACTAGTTGGATTAGCCATAGGAGACGCAGGGTTACAGGGATAGGGTAGGGGGTTGGTTATGGGTGAGATGCTCTTTGGAGCGTCAGTGAGACTCAATGGGCTGAATGGCCTGCTTCCACACTGTAGAGATTTATCTGATTCTGGTCCGTTATATCATGGTAAAATGTACATTTTTCTATGAAGGTTCAAGCAACTCTCTATTCCATACACGAAGATGCTTAATTCTGAACCAGTCCTACCTCTTGGTGTACCCTGCTCTGAAACGTACTTTCATCCAAGCTGCGACAGAGTTCACTAAGAGAGACAGACACATGCACACGGCTCTCTGTTTGGCTGCTTTGGCTCATCAGGGACAGAACCAGCCCCACTCCCAGGATGCAGCCCGTACTGCAAAAATAAAAACAACACGCATCAAGAGAATAATCACTGCTGTCTGAGAGACTTTCTCCTCCATGCCCTGCAGGGCTAACGTTGGTTTTTCTGTATTCACATCTCAAAGTGAAACAAAACTCGTTAAATGGGTAGGTGGTAAATTTAAACTTTGGGATTACTGTATTTAACAAACTCCATCACATACTGCATTACATTGGCAAGTAGTCACTCAGAATCCTGGCCTCAAAAGTGGTAATTGAGTAATTTTACACAAATCTTTCACAGCAAAACACAGCTGGATGTAGGGAGTGGAGCAGATCACTGGAGCAGAAACAGTACAGAAGGTCATTATTAGAGAATGGGAAGGAGTTATTATTTTGCTTTCAAGCCTAGGAATCCCTATCAGTAAGGTACTGCTCATCAGCACTCAGAGTTTTAAGCTTGATGAAAATGGTCCAGTAGGCATAAAGACTAATACTTTGGAAACTAAAACAGATAAAGCCCATATTCTGGATATGAAACTCCACAGGGTTTCAAAACCGTCCACATGGCATGCTGAGGTGATGATGTGGCAGTCATAATCCTGTTACAACCTCTAATCAAGGCTGTTAGCTAAGACTTTGGAAACTCTTATTGGCACGCATGGCTAAATCTGTAGCACTGCCATGGTTACCCTGTCCTACGCAACTGAGTGCTGGCGGCAACAAGTTTGCCCCAGGCTAAGGAGGGCAGTCAACAAAAAGGCAAGGCTGGCAGACAGACTGTTTCAATTGTATCACTGATTCCCTTCCGAATTTTCTATTTTTCAAATTCAGTGCAAACAGCAGCAAGTCGTCAGGCAAAGAGAGAAGAATCTTTTATTCCTGCAGTATTCCCAGATGGACTATATGGAATCGGCATAGAAGGAGACTATTCAACCCATCATGTCTGTACTAGCTCCCAAAAAGAGCTACCCCAGCTAGCCCCACTCTCCAGCCCTATCTCTGTAGCCCTGGTAGTAGCCTGACATTCTCTACTCTATGCTACAATGCTCAAGACATGCATCATAGAATCATAGAATGGAGGAATATGCGCTTTTTGAATTATTTGCTCAAACGTTAACACAAACCTATTCGCTGCACAAGTGATTTCACCTGAAACTTCTTTACTCAGTGGCAGCCAAGTCCAATGGCTGCTCTCGCACTCAGGTGAGGAGGCAGTCTCCATCAAATATCACAGCCAATACAGGGATTGAGCTGTCGGTTCTAGGTGGGGTGGTTAAAAAAGGCATTTGGCATGCTTGCCTTCACTGCTCAGTCCCCTGAGTGTAGGAGTCGGGATGTCATATTGAGGTTGTACAGCACTTTGGTGAGGCCTCTTCTGGAGTACTGTGTCCAGTTCTGGTGGCCCAGTTAGAGGAAGGTTATTATTAAGTTGGAGAGGTTCAGAAGAGATTTACGAGATTTTTTTTCATTCATTCACGGGATGAGGGCGTCGCTGGCTACGCCAACATTTATTGCCCATCCCTAATTGCCCAGAGGCAGTTATGAGTCAACCATGTTGCTGTGGGTCTGGAGTCACATGTAGGCCAGACCAGGTAAGGATAGCAGTTTCTTTCTCTAAAGGACATTAGTAAACTAGATGGGTTTTTCCAACAATCTGCAATGGATTCATGGTCATCATTAGACCCTTAATTCCAGATATGTATTGAATTCAAATTCCACCATCTGCCGTGGCAGGATTCGAACCCGGGTCTCTGGGTTAACAGTCCAGCAGTAATATCAATGGGCCATTGCCCCCTGATGCTGGTTATGGAAGGTTAACTAATAAAGAAAGGCTGGGACATTTTTCACTGGAGCACAGGAGGTTGAGAGGTGACCTCATAGAAGTTTGTAAAATCATGACAGATATGGATACAGTATATGGTAGCTGTCTTTTTCCCTAGAATGGGGGATTTCAAGACTGAGGGGCACATTTTTAAGGTGAGAGGAGACAGATTTAAAGATGACACGAGGGGCAAATATTTTACACAGAGGGTAGTTGTGTGTGGAATGAACTTCCTGAGAAAGTGGTGGATGTGGGTACAGTTACAATGTTGAAAAGATATTTGGATAAGTACATGAATAGAAATGGTTTGGAGGGATATGAGGCAGGTGGGACTAGTTTAGTTTGGGATTATGTTCGGCATGGACTGGTCGGACCGAAGGGTCTGTTTCAGTGCTGTACGACTATGACTCTATTCTGCACTGACCTCTCAATAGCTAACCAAATGAGTTAAATAACAGTGGTTAGCACTGCTGCCTCACAGCGCCAGGGACCCAAGTTCCATTCTACCCTCGGGCGACTGTCTGCATGGAGTTTGCACATTCTTCCCGTGTCTGCGTGGGTTTCCTCCGGGTGCTCCGATTTCCTCCCACAGTCCAATGATGTGCAGGCTAGGTGGATTGGCCATGGGAAATTGCCCAAAATGTCCAGGTATGTGCAGACTAGGTGGGTTACAGGGATAGGGCAGGGCACTGGGCCTCGGTGGGATTTTCTTCGTAGGATCGGTGTGGACTCAATGGGCTGCATTCTATGATTCTATGCCATCTCACAATAGCACACCAAACATGTAAACACAAGCTTAGAATTCAGTTGCAGCAGTAACAATTGAATTATGGATAAATACCACTTACCAGAGCTAAAACCGTGCATTCAGATCATCATTTTCTTGCCGTATAAAGTTGTGGGAGTATATTTACTTACATTGGGAATTACTTGCTAAATGCATTAAGTTTTGAACAGAACAAGAATAGTTTGAACTGGATGTTTGTGGAATGTTGAGATGAAGAAATAGCTGTAGATAGATGAAGAAATAACTGAACTTGTAAGGAATTTATTCACCCATCTGACAAGTTCATTGTTACCACTTACTGAATTTACAATCATTCCTTAACGTAAATTGAAAGAAAGCTAATCAAACCGCACTTGTATTCCAAGCTCGTATCAAAGCAACACTTCTCCAGAGCATCCAATGACTTCATGAGCAGTAAATTCATCTTCTGCCCGGAGACATCACTGCCAAAAAGATGACAGAAGACATTAAATTCAAATACATTACCTCCTGCTCAGGAACTGACATTGTACATTCCGTAAATTCAAGCATGAAATAGTTTGAAATAATGCACGCTGTGCTTGAGAACCTCAAATGGGCCCATATAAATTTCAACAGGACAGGAACGGTAAAAACATTCAACATCAACTCTAATTCTAAATGGCTTCTATTGCATACATCTCTTTGGTTATACACAGAATTCCTACACATTCATGCATTGTTGAGCACAGCCTGCAAACACAGCCTGCAATACCTCCATAGGGGAGAGTGCAATACAGAACAGTCACATACTTAAGATCTTACTTCCTTGATTTTCAGAACTACAATTTTGAAGATTTATTTTATCTCCATTTTCCTTTTTATTATAACGGTCACATGGCTTTGATCTTCACTTCTCTTTCTGCTTGCTTTAAACTGAGAATACGGCTTTAATTTGAAATTGCAAAGACTTCAAAGAACACCACATAATGGAGGTAAGCAGTCCTCACTCCAACATTAGGCTGTCATGATTAAAGACACACTTGTCCTGTAGAGTTTGGTATTATCTAATATCCTGTCAATTCCCACCTGGAACCCTGTATGAAAATTACACTTGCTCTTGGGTTCATCCCCGTCAGAGAAAAAAAGTGATTCATACTTGAAAAAGGTCCTGTAACATTTTATATCAAGCAAGGTCTTCTTGTTTCTTCTCCTTCTTAACTGTTTACTCCTGTGAATTCAGATCTTTTACTGTTCAATATGCTATATAAATGCAGTGAAAGGATTCTCTTAGGTCATCATTCAATTGTCAAAAAACAGTACAGCACAGGAACAGGCCCTTCGGCCCATCAAGCCTGCACCAACATGATGCTTTTTTAAACTAAAACATTTTGCCCCTACACACTGCATATTCCACTATTCCCTGCCTATTCAGGTATTTGTCGAGCTCAGAAGGCACACGCGACCAAGTTACAGTTCAACAGGATTATGTGAAATCACAAGCTTTCAGCCCCTTTGACAGGTGAAGACAGGTATATCCCCTAGTAACTGACATTTCTATCCTCGGAAAAAGATTAACTATCCATTCTATCCATGCCTCAAAACTTCTATCAGGTCATCCTTCAACTTTCATGCGAAAACAAACCAAGTTTGTATAATTTCTCCTCATAGCCAATATCCTCCAAACCAGGCAATTTCCTGGTAGACAGTTTCTGTACCCCCTCCACATCTTTCTGGTAGTGTGATGACCAGAACTGTACACAATATTCCAAATGTGGCCAAAGTAAAGTTCGATACGTCTGCAATATGACATGCTAATTCTTATATTTTATGCCCCAACCAATGAAGGCAAGCATGCCATGAGCGTTCTTGACTACCTTGTCCATTTGTATTACCACTTCCAGGAGACTATGAACTGTACGTCTAGATCCTTATGTATGTCGATGCTACTAAGGATTCTACCAACATACTGTACACTTCCCTCCAGCATTAGATCTTCCAAAATGTATCACCTCACATTTCGCCAGATTAATTTCCATATGCCATTTCTCCGCCCAAGTCTCCAACATATCTATACCGTGCTGTATCCTCTGGCAATCATCCTCACTATCTGCAGCTCCACCAATTTTTGTGTCATCTGCAAACTTACTAATCAGGCCACCTACATTCTCCTACAAATCATTTATATACATACACAAACACAGGGGTCCCAGTACTGATCCCTGTAGAACACCACTGGTCACAGACCTCCAGTCAGAAAAATACCCTTCCACTGCTACTCTCTGTCTTCTTTGACTAAGTCAGTTCTGTATCCATCTTACCAGCTCACTGCAGATTCCATGTGACTTTTGCATCAGCCTGTCATGAGGGACCTTGTCAAAGGCCATGCTAACATCCAGACAGATACCTACCACCATGCCTTCATCAATCATCTTCCTCACTTCCTCAAAAACTCAATGAAGTTTGTCTCCTGCATGAAACCATCCTGCCTGTCATTCATAAGTCCCTATTTTTTTCAAATGTGAGTAAATGCTACCCTTAAGATACTTCTCTCATAATTTCCCTACTTCTGACGTAAGGTTTACCGGGCTGTAATCTTCCAGATTATCCCTATTGCCCTTCTTAAACAAAAGAACAACAATGGCTATTCTCCAGTCCTCTGGGACCTCTCCTGTCATAAAAGAGGATTCAAAGATTTTGTACAAGGCCCCAGCAATTTCCTTATCTGCTCACTCAGCATTCTGGATAGATCCTATCAGGTCCTGGGAACTTGTCCACCTTAATGCATTTTAAAACACCCAACACCACCTCTTTTTTTATATTGACATGTCCTTCCCGAGACTCACCATCCACATGTCCTTGAACACTGAAGTAAAGCATTTGTAAAGGACCTCACCCACTTCCTCTGGCTCCACGCATAAATTCCATCCTTTGTCCTTGAGTGGACCTACCCTATCCCTAGCTACCCTCTTGCTCCTTCTATACATATAAAATGCCTGGGGATTTATTTTAGTCCTGCTTTCCAAAGACATTTCATGGCCCCAGAGATAGTAGGAACGGCAGATGCTGGAGAATCTGAGATAACAAGGTGTAGAGCTGGACGAACACAGCAGGCCAAGCAGCTTCAGAGGAGCAGGAAAGCTGACGTTTCGGGCCTAGAGGGTTGAGGCCTCTGATGCTGCTTGGCCTGTTGTGTTCGTCCAGCTCTACACCTTGTTGTCTTACATTTCATGGTTTTGGTCCTCTTAAGTCCTTGTTTAAAGCTCTTTCCTGCTATTGTTACATTCTTCGAGAGCTCTGTTTGTCTTCTGTTTCCTTAACCTTACCTTAAGCCTCCTGTTACTTTGACTAAGCTCACAATTACCCTTGTCATCCTAGATTCCTGGACCTTGCCATCCTAATCCTTCATTTTCACAGGAACATGCTGGTCCTGAACTCCTTTCATCTGGCCTTTAGAAGATTCCCACATGCCGTGGATTTACCCTCAAACAGACACCCCAATCTCCGTCACCAGTTCCTACCTAATATTGTGGTAGTTAGCCTTCCTCCAATTCAGTACTTTCACCTAATGACTACTCTGATCCTTATCCATAAGTAACTTAAAACTTACAGAATTATGGTCACTATTCCCAAAATACTCGCCAACTGAAATTTTAAACACCTCCTTGCTGATTCTAGTATAGCCTCTTCCTTAGTTAGACTATTTACATATTGTTTCAAAAAACTGTCCTGGACACACCTAACAAATTCTCTCCCAGTCAATAAGGGGAAGTTAAAATCATCCATGCAACAATCCAGTTATGTTTACAATTTTCCACAGTCTGCCCACATATCTGTTCCTTTATCTCCTGCTGGCTGTTGGGAAGCCTAAAACATCAAAGTGATTGCATCCTGCCTACTCCTCAGCTCTACCCACAAGACCTCACTGGATGAGCCCTCTAAGGTGTCCTCCCTCAGTACAGCTGTGATAGTGTCCCTCATCAGTTATGCAACTCCCCCATCTCTCTTACATCCCTCTCTATCTCACCTGAAACATCTAAATCCCGGAACACTGAGCTGCCACTCTTGTCCCTCTCTCAATCAAGTCTCTGCATTGGCTACCACATCATGGTTATATGTATTAATCCAGAGTGTAAATTCATTTGCATTACCTGTCACACACCTCATGTCAAAATAAATACACCTCAGATCACCAGTCCCGCCGTGTTCAGTAATCTCTCCCTGTCTGTTCTTCCTTTTCATCTTACTGGCCCTAATCTCTGACTCTCCTCTGTCATTTTACTTGCTGACTTCCTGCTCTGGTTCCAGCCGCCCCACAACATTAGTTTAAATCCTTCTGAGTGACACTAGCAAACATCCTTGCCAGAATATTGGTGTCTTCCAGTTTAGGTGCAGCCCATCTTTCTTGTACCGATCCCATCTGCCCTGAAATATATCCCAATGATCCACATACCTGAAGCCCTTCCTCCGACACCAACTCTTTAGCCACGTCTTAAACCGTCCTATCTTCCTATTCCTGAACTCATTGGCAAATGGCACGGGGAGGAATCCTGAGATTACAACCTTACAGGTCCTGCTTTTCAACTTTCTACCTAACTCCCTTTGCAGAGTCTCACCTCTCTTCCTGCCTTTGGTGCCAATAATGGACCACAACCTCTAGCTGCTCAGCTCCCCTCTTCAGAATATTTTGTGCCCGCTCAGAGACATCCTTGACCCTGGCACCAGTGAGGCATCACACCATCCTGGAGTCTCGCTTACAACCACAGAAATGTCTGTGTCCCTAACTATACAGCCCCCTATCATTACTGCTCAACTACACTTTGACCCCCAGTGTACAACAGTGCCAATTGTGCTGCCACTGATCTGCTTGCTGCTACTTTCCCCCCCGAGAGGCCTTCCCCCCCAACAGTATCAAAATAGTATATTTGTTTGAGAGGGGAATGGCCACAGGGGACTCCTGCACTGCCTGCCCATGCTTACTCATCCTCCTGGTGGTCATCCAACTCTTTGTCAGTCTAGCCCTTACTGGTGCTGTGACCAGCTCACTCAACATGCTATCCACGACACTCAACCTCACAAATGCTCCACACGAGTCCATCACAGCTCCAACTGCTCCACGTGGCAAATCAGGAGCTGCGGGTCAACACACTTCCTGTATACGCAGTCATCATGGAGACTGGAAACGTCCTTGATTTCCTACATATTGCAGGAGGAATATTCCAGAGGGCTGAATTCTCCTGCCATTATGAACTTTATCAAGTAACTCAACCTTATCAACTACAGACAATAATCCAGAATTGATTACACGACCTAATCCACGACTCACCAAACTCGGATCTCCCACTCCTGCTCTCTACACCTATTTTCATTGTAAATCCATTGTTTGTGCCATTCACAAAATTCACTGCACAAACTCACCAACGCTCCTTTGAAAGCACTTTCAAACCTGTGATCTCCACCATCTGGAAGAATAGGGGCAGCAGATCCCTGTGAACACCACCACTTGCAAGTTCCCCTCTGAGCCACACATCATCCTGACTTGGAAATACATCATTGCTCCTGCACTGTCACTGGGTTAAAATCCTGGAGCTCTCTTCTTAACAGCACTGTGGCTGTGCCTAAACCAAATGGACTGCAGCAATGATTCACTAACACCTTCATAGGGGCAATTACAGATAGGTAATAAAGGCTGACAATGAAATATACCCCGAAGTCCCATTTAAATTTGGAACCTAAACAGATTGAGGAACAGCTGAAGCAAAAGCATGCCACTGAAGATTTTGGTACCTTGTTAACAGACTGCAAAGTCAATAACTGAGAAATATCTTCCTCATTTCTTATTATTGGGAAGGTGGTGGCATTAGTGGAATTGTCACTCGAGTAGCAATCCAGAGAATTAGACTAATGATTTGGGCGAAGGAGTCAAAGACTATCACAGCAGATCACAAAATCTGAGTCAATGAAAACAAGTAATTTGGAAAAAAAAGGACATCCATGTAACTAACCCTTGTTGATTGACACAAAAACCCACGTCGTTCATTAATGTTCTTTAGAGAAGAAAATCTGCCTTCTGGTTAAACCCACTTTTAACTGCCCTCTGAAATGGGCCTAGGAAGTCAGTCAATGCAAAGGGCAATTAGGGGATAAGCAGTAAATGCTGGCGCAGCCAAGGGTACTCAAACGAAAGAATGAATGAAAGAAAATTTACTATCGGTGCACAACAAAGACTTGGCTAGTTGCTGCCATGTTACAGAACATGGCACATCCTTGCAAAGCTTGAACATGCATGAACAGGTTCAAGAACAGTTTCTTCCCTGCTGTTATCAGGCTGATGAATGGACCTCTCTAATCTCAAGTAATATTGTGCACTTCCAGTGCCGCCTCGCTCTGCCTAAGCATGCTATGATCTCTATGTCCTTGTTTGCTATGATCTGCCTGTACTGTTTGCAAAACAAAGGTTTTCACTGTACTTAGGTACATGTGACTGCAATAAATCAAATCAAATCAATGCCTGAAAGGATGAACACATTTCTCCTACAATTACCTCATTCGTTCTTCGTACAAGCGAGACAGAAACATTCCTGCAGCTAATCCCATGTGAAACAGAACAGCTTGGGAGGTGTCAGCTTTCTGCTTTCCTGGCAGACCTGCAACGAGAATGCCCAGGACCTCTCCGATGCTGTCTTTGCGTGATGTGATGAAAACAGGTGCAAGAAGGGTCAAAGCAGTCGCAGCACACGAGCGAGCAATGGCACTGGCTGTATTCTCCCCGGAGTAGGATTTCTGTCAAAGCCATACATCAATATTAGTGAGCCCTACACAGAACTCTGCTCACTGCAGCATTTTCATTCGATTGCTGATCAACCATTTGCCTTCAAGTTGTTTTTCTGCATTCTAGGAATTATATCAAGGGTGTTGTTGCAGAGGTGTCACACTATAACCCTGTGAATGCAGAATGAAACTGCATTACAGAAACATTCCCCAAATGGCGCTGGTTCTTTGCTGGAGCAATTCAAAGCTAACCCCAGAGTCTTGACTTTCCACAGAGCTAAATACCACCATTTGTGACACTGCTCAGCCCCCACACCTCCACCCCAAAGTTGTCTCGGAACAAGTGCCAACATTCAATTAAGACAGTGAGCAAGGACCTCTGCTGCATGGGAGATGGCACCAGAATTGAAAATATTCACTACTCCCACTGGAAATCTCTCAGTTGAGGTCAGTCGGCAGCAGTTTCACCTCTCAGTCAGAACCCGAGAACCCAATCCAGGCTAAAACGACAGTGGAGTACAAAAGGAGAGCTACGTTAGCAGAGCTGGCGTCTTTGGATAAGAAAGTTAAAATATAGCCTGGTCACCCCGCTCAGGGAAAGTTAAAGCACTTCATGACTCTATTTAGGTCCTCACTGATGATGACAAAAAAATCAGTGCTGTGGTAAACAGCAAGGAGGACAGCCTTAGACAATAGGACAAATTAGATGGGCTGGTCAGATGGACTGAACTGTAGCAATTGGAATTTAATCATGAAAAAAAAAGGCATTTTGGGAGGACAAACAAGGCAAGGGAGCACACAGTGAATGGTAAGACTCTAGAAAGTACAGAGAATACGGGGGACCTTGGTACGCATATCCATAAATCCCTGAAGATGGAAGACAGGAGGATAGGATGGTTAAGAAGGTATATGTCATTCTTGCCTTCATTAGTAAAGGTATTGAATCTACCAGCAAGAAGGTTATAATGGAGATATATATAAATGGTAGTTCGGCCACAGCAGAGTATTGTGTGGGGTTCTGGTCTCCAGACCATAGGAAGGATGTGATTGTACTAGGGAGAGTGTAGAAGAGATTTACCAGGATGTTGCCTGGGCTGAAGCAATTCAGCAATGAAGAGAGACTGGAAAGGCTGGGGGTGATTTCCTCTGTTGAGGGGGAGTATCTGACTGAGATGTACAAAGCTCTGAAGGGCATAGATGGGGCAGATAGGAAGAAACTTTTCCTTTTCGTCATGGGCTCAATAACCATGGGACACAGTTTTAAGTTAAGAAGGTGTAAGTTGAGAGGGAATTTGAGGAGAGAATATTTCACCCAGAGGATAGTAAGAATCTGGAACTCACTGCCTAAAAGGGTGTTAGAGGCAGGAACCCTCAAGACCTTTAAGAAATATTCAAGTGAACAGTTGCAATGCCACAGCACATCAAAGCTACAGGCCAAGTTCTGGAAAATGAGATTAGAACAGATGAATGTTTGATGACTGGCACAGGCACAATGGGCCAAAGGGCCCCTTTCTGCACTGTGCTAACTCACACCTGAAGCACATTGCAGCAGCTTATACAACAAACACAGCACAGAGATAGTAAGAAGTGCAGATGCTGGAGTCTGAGATAACACAGTGTGGAGCTGGATGAACACAGCAGGCCAGGCAGCATCAGAGGGGCAGGAAAGTTGACGTTTCGGGTCGGGACCCTTCTTCAGAAATCTTCAAAAACACGTGTTCCGATCGAACTCTAATGTTTAAAAATCAAACGGGAGCAGCCCTGAGTGGGGTGAACAGGTCTCTAAATCAGACAGGGGTTATAGCCACAGTCAGTCAGGGGGTCTGTCCTACTCCATCTGTGGTCTTCTTTGCCGGTCATCAGGACACAGAACTGCCTCCACTTCACCATTAAGTAGCACCTCCTGCTGGTGAACTGAGGAGCTACCTTGCCCTGTTCAGACTTGGGGACAATGGTGCAGGATTAGAATGTGAGGGACAGTTTAAATATGCTGCAGGCAATATCATGCTGCCAAATCCTGGCAGTGACCAGCTCTCCTGCCTTTCCTACCACATGATTCCATGAGACAGGCAAGATGAACAGTGGAAGACTACATGGGTAAAGTCACCAGTGGGACGTGGCAGGTCAGGTGCTACAAGCATCCATTACCACCCAGCAAGATCAAAGCCAAGTGATCTATAGCAAGGTTTTCAGTTCAACAACTCAAAAGAAAATTAATTACATTTTTCCACGTGTTGTAGAAGTTAAACCTGACAAATGCAAAATGGTTTTGAACAGTGGATATATGGAGTCATGAATAACTAACTAAAGCTCTCAGTTGGGAAACAGAAATCTCTAACGAGATACTAATCCAAGCATCTCTCATTAAATAAGATACAATCTAGTACTTCTCTAACAAACTCAAACACGGCATCATGGTCTGAAATGGAACAATATAGTTTTTTCTCTAGTCTCTCTACTGTCTTTCCAAGATAATCTGTTCCAGGAGATGCATTTCTTTCTCACTTGATAGTATTTCCATCAACTTGCTGACTGCCCAACTTGCTTTCCTGGCCCGTATGTTAGCCGGTAGTTAAAAATTTAAGCTGATCACGATCTTACTGAACAACCGGGCAGATCTGAGTGGTTAGAATGGCTTATATCTACTCCTATGTTCATCCTATGTGTGTGTCCCAATCCTTATCGCATTCTTTGAAAAACAATATTACAAAATGATGGATACAAAATACTTCTAACTACCTTATTTATTGTCAGCAAAAATTCTGCAAAATTACTTACTGTTTCCCCTGCTTGATGATATCACTGCTGCTGGATACCTGGACATTCCCCGTCTGGGTACCAGATTCAAATTGAAGTTGGGGGTCAGATAGAAATCCATGACAGAGTGAACACCAAAACTTAGTGAGCACCTCAGAGTTCAACAACAAATACCATAATTTTGCCTCTACCCGCAAAATCTGAATCAAAGACTAATAACCACAGGAGATTTCAATGGCATAGTGATGATGCCATTGAACAGGTTAGAGGTCAGAGGTTTAAATTGTAAGCAGTGGTGAAATTTAAGTTGTATTAACTAATAAATCTGGAATGGAGAGCTAGTCTCATTAATAACTACCAAGGCGATATTGTTAGATATTGCAAAATCTCATCTGTTTTTAATGTCCTTTAGGGAAAGAAATCTTCATAATCTGTATGAACATGCGACTCATGACCTACAGGAATTTGGTGAAATGTGTCCTCTGAAATGGCCTTGCAAGCCACTCAGTTCAAGATCAATTGGGGATGGGTAACAAAGGCTGGACTTGGCAGTGACTTCCAGATCCCAAATTATTGGGAGAAAAACTACCAAAATCATTTAGTCACATTGGATAAATAAATGGGATAACAGACAAATGAACAGCTGGAGCAGACTACTTGGTCCCTCCAGTCTGGTGGAACATTCTCTTCCTTCCTCCTTTGATGCATTCCTTAAAACCTACATCTTTCACAAAGCTTTGGCAATCTACACTAATATTAGCTGCTTGATGTCAAAATTTGCTTCACAATACTCCTGTAAGACATCTATGGCACATTTTTACTTTAATACAGAAAGGCAAGTTATTGTTCTTGTACTTGAGGGAGTCAATTTTTGTGTCTGACATATTTTTGTGTGTAAGGAATTTCTTCCGGTGTTTGGGGGGGGGGGGGGGGGTAACAGACAAATTAAAACATTTGGGGGGACCAGCGTA